TGATGACGACGGAGATGTTGTCGATCAAAAGGGTAACTCACTCGGACACGTGACTCTTCTCGAGGATATCGTTGAAGATGAACCCGAGCCAGAGGCAGAGCCAGAGCCAGAACCAGAGGTAGAAGAGCCTGAGGCTGAGCCAGAGGAGACTGAGGAAGAGAAGAAGAAGAGAGAGGAAGCTGCACTCGATGAAAAGATTTGTGGTCAGATGACCTACTGCGTCGAAGATGCCCTTGGCAAGATCAAGCCAGTTCTGAAACAGATTATTTCACACATCGACAAAGCCGAGCGTACACCAAAGGATGAGCTTGATGAAGAAGATCTTGTCAACAAGGTCAAGCCACTGATCGAAGAAGGTGGACGTATCCTTTCTGAGGCTAATTCCTCCATTCGTGCTCTTGACCCCGGTGGAAGACTCGCTTCTCAGGCCAAGGCTAAGACAGCAGCTCATGAAGCCACTCCAGCAGAGTATCATCTCGCTGATTGTCTCAAAGAGGTACGTTCTCTCTATGTTTAATACGCTCATGACATGAACATTCACTAATCATTATTTATAGCTTACCGGCACTGTCAGTGAGACCATCGAGAACGCCAAGAGAAAGATTGAAGGCATGCCACATGCCAAGAAAGAAATCAACCCTCTATGGAACCTTCTTTCAGAGCCACTTGCTCAAATTCTCGCCGCTGTTGGCTTGCTTTTGAGCGGTGTTCTCGGATTGGTTGGTAAATTGGTAAGTTATCACGTGATCTCATTTACCTCTTTTCTAAACAGATGCTAACAACTTTTACAGCTCAGCGGACTTGGTCTTGGAGGCTTGCTTGACAACCTTCTCGGAGGTCTTGGTCTTAAGGGACTGTTGAACGGCCTTGGACTTGGAATGGTGGTTGATTCCATCACTGGCAAGAAGAAGAAATAAACGATTTGACGAATCTTACGAGCGGTCTGCTTTACGAATTACTTCAAAATGTACATGTATTTTATAGCGGTCTTGGATATTCGGAATATTGGTCTGTAATTTCTTTCCTCTTTAATGTTTAGCGGACTTTTTGGTTCTTTCTGTATTTTAGCAAAAATTTATAATGATGTTCACAAATTTTGAGATGTTTGAGATGGATTTGTTGTGAGATTTCATCGGTCTAAGATAAGTTCCACCATTAGTGAATATAAGACCTTAATATTCCGATTTCGAATCTGAATTGGAATGTTGACAACTCCTCAACAATTTGGTCGATTTGCAACTCATCTCGCCTTCGTCTTTTCCGTGCTCGCCAAGATTGTAAAATCACGTGCATTGGCAATAACATCGCCTTCCTTTGGTGTCCATATCTTCCTTTTCATCCCGCGTCTGTCAATGAAAATCCCATGACCGTCAAAGTAAGGACAGCGATATTCCTTGTATGTCGAGCTGAAAATGACGTATATGGCGGTAAGGATAGATAAACTTTATGAGATCATCCATGAAGAAATGCATGTGAATGTGAAAGTTTAAAACCCTGAATTGGTGCTTTGCGGTTTCCATGATTTCTAGTGGCTTTCTCACACTAACGACCTCACATCCATCTACGAAGCAAGATGATCATATCCATATTAATACTTGGAGCCCCATACTGTCGTGGCTGATCGTTTTCTTCATGACATTTTATTAGTAATTCACTCGTACGACTTTACAATGAAGCGAACACTGCTTCTATGTTTTATCCATGGGTTCAAGGGTAATGGAGAGACCTTTTATACGTTCCCTCAGGTAAGCCAACAATATAATCCGTAGTTTGGATAAAGGTACTGACCCTCGAGATAGAACCTCCAGAAAAGTGTAGCAGATAAGCTACCAGATGATGATGTTGAACTTCTTATATATCCAAAATATGAGACGAGAGGTGACCTGCTGGACAGTACCGATCGATTTCTTGAATGGTATGTGGCAATAACTAGAGCTTTCGAATTATTTGTTAATCAAATTGACTTCATAGGCTGAAAGCAAAGGTTATGGAAGTTCGGAAAGAGAAGACCGAAGCTCCATGGCCACCAAATGACAGATCTGTGGGTGTCATCTTGGTTGCACATTCAATGGGGTAAGAACCAGCTCTACCACCGTAACCTTGCATTTGTACTGACAATGTGTTCAGAGGGTTTGTAGCATCCGATGCACTATTTTCCATTCTTAATGATCATCATGATAAGGAGGACGAGGACTCCAATCATGTCATATTTCCTCTTATCCAAGGAATTCTTGCTTTTGATACCCCCTACAATGGTCTTGCTCGTTCCATGTTTGTCTATGGTGCTTTCTCACAATATAATAAAGTAAGAGCCAAATTCTCTCTGGTTCGGTGAGTACTGACTTTGATGCAGGTTAGCAATATCTGGAATGTAATGTCAGCTGCGTCAGCTGGCCTTATTAGTGCTAGATCCCTAGGAACCATGACTGCGAAACAAGCTGCCAGACAAGCAGGAAGCTCCTTGACAGCTACAACCAGGACTGCAAGTCCAGGATGGAAGATCTGGGAAGGGATTGCAGTAAAATCCGGTGTTGTAGGAGCAATTGCGGCCGGTGGTGTAGCGGCGTACAGAAATCGTGAGACTATTATCTCAGGCGTCAAGAATTTGAACAAGAACTCTTTCAAAGATGGAGCGGAGCAAGGTTACGATGCATTGGGACAGGGGCTCGCATATATCAATCGAGATAGCGTCGGTCAATCTTTCGCATGGTTGTCAAGCCACCTCAAGTTTGTAGGTGCTTTGATGAGACAAAAAGAGATGGTCCAGAGACTCGAAAGACTGTCCAAGATTGAAGGAGTTGGAATTAGAAATTTCTATACTTCATTGGGAGAAAACGGATACTGGACAGGTGGATATTTTGTTCCGGAGAGAACTTTCTCTGCAATACCTGCACCAGGACAAAAGTCTCACGATCTTTTCATTCGAACTGTGAATGGGGCAGTCGAGGATGAAGTTCAAGCTCATATGAGTATGTTCAAGCCACAAACCAACGATAATTATGATACAATGTCGGAACAAGCAAGAGATCTAGTTGTTGAATGGTTCCAAGCCGACAATAAACTCGTGGATATTCCTCCACCGCCAGAGCCTTCTCCAGATGCTACACCGGCGAAAGATGCTATAGATGTGCAGGCAGAAGATGGTGAGATGGCAACAGCTACAGAATCCGAATCGATTCCTAATTTAGACATGGACGGAGTCGATGACTCGCCTCTTGATATTGTGGCTGCGGCTGCATCGATTCCACTGCCAGACATCCAAGAAAATGATCTTGATACAAAGCAGCGAGAATCGTATCTTCAAAGTCTTTACCGGATTTCTCAAAGAGCAGGATCTGGTGTATCTGGATACGCATCTGCTGCAGGATCTGGTCTCACTGGCGCAGCTTCAACAGGCCTAAAGGCCGGAGCAGCTATTCCCACTTATGCATCCAAAGGAGTTAGCTCTTTCTGGAGCTCAAATAAGGCCAAGAAGACAGAGACTGACGGACCTGTGGAGGAGCAAGAACCAAGTGAATCTGTAACCATTGACGCCGATGATGATGTGAGAACTGAAAATAAGAAGGGATCTGTATGGACATTTGGTTCATTGTTTTCGTCGAAGAAGAAAGGTGAAGAGGGTGAGGAGGCTGTTGATGAGAATAACGATGGTAGAATGGATGAGTCGAAAGTGGACAATCATAGTGAGTTCAGTCGATTAGTTGCGACATGGTCAATAGTTCCCTAACTTTTTCTAGGGACTCAACTGCAGTGATTTATTTTGGTTTCTCAATGTTTGGGAGTACGAGTATACGATTATGTAGCATTGTTTTCTTGTAATGATTCTTTATAATTATGGCAAATAATCATTGGTTCCTTTAAGCCCACTTGAAAAAGGGGCCTTTCGGTTGTGACATTGGCCCTTTGATCATTGTGTTAGTGAATACTGGGTAGGAAGTTTTGCTTTCGCACTGTTAGCATGCAGTGTCACTCAAGATCATCAATCATGCATGTGAAATTTAGTATTCTGAATGGACGATACCCAAGAACCAGATACGCAACATAACAATTTGCCGGTCTAAGCCGAATCAATGGAGTTCTACATTTTGACGGTGAATATCCAAAATTCAGATATGCAACGCAACTTCTTATCTACTTCAAGCACGTAATCATCCTCCTCCTCTGGGGAGTTCAATTGTACATAAATATATACTTGAAACTCTCTCAACGATGACGCTATTCTCGTGAAGCCTCTAGACTTAATTAAAGTTGATGCGAGGTTGAGTTTGAGGTTGCAATGGTTGGAGCTCACAGAGTATGCTTTAGTGTGGATCTCATCTTATCTTATCTTATCGACATTTTCATCAGCTAAATATCACAGCGTCGAAGGTAAGATTGTCTCGGACCTCGGATATACTCCGGTCATAGAGTACTCACTCTCTTGTAGTCAATTTGATATTCATTCACGCAATGAAGTTTTTCAGGCTGTTTGTCAATTCATTCTTCAACTACTCTCCCTCAAAGCCATCCAATGGAGGTCAGAATGGATGATGATTAGCAGGAACACCATTTGCTTGCTACATTTGCAAGCTTGCAATTTGTAAGGCAGGCAAATGTCGCTCGCTGTGCAAATCGTGGGCGTCTTCATCGTCTACATCTCCACGCGGTTGCGAAGTCACTAATTAACGAGACGGTAGTGAAGAGTGATTGAATACTAATCGAAGATTACATGAGCCTCAATAATCCGTAAGATCTTATTCCACTCACTACCTTACCTCGGTCAAGACGCGTGCGCTCAACTGGGCTCGTCGCGCACTGCATATACGATCGGTGCATCCACAAATCCAACTGTTAGGCATGATCAATCTATTTACCACAAGACACTTCAGCTGAACATTGGCTCGTGGATAGATTAGCAAGATGTTCATCTCATTGCTTTTCTAACTATCCCTCTCAAATTTTCACTGCATTTTAATCCCACGGAGAGCTTGTCACTTTGACAACCAATCTTGACAGCCGTGATGGATTTGCCTAAAGTGCTGCTCATAGGAACAATTTATTGTGCATCTTCGGAATGGAACAATTTATCGGATATTGCGGAATTAATTGTGAGTATTCATTTGTTACGAAAATGTTAGCGATGCTCATTTGAGATAATAGCATCTGAATGATGGAAACAGAGATACTTTTCGCAATAGTTGCCATTCTGGGCATTATGATGGAGTGGTAGTAACAATAAGATGTGAAGATGCTTACAAAGTACGTGAGCCTGCATTTTCAGCCGACGTGGGCTTACTGAAATAGTACACTGGCCGCTTTGACACCGATCTTATTCAATCTCTGCCAAAATCGGTCAAATTCATATGTGCTCCTCAGGTTGGCTACGATCAAATTGATATCAATATCTGCACTATTCAAGGCAGAAAAGATGGCAAAGTGCCTATTTCGAATGATTGGTAACATATCCTCACAGGCATCGCCGTTTCAAACTCCCCAGCGAATATTGGTAATGCAACAGCCGATGCTGCTATGTACCTTTTGCTCGGTGCTTTACGCCGATCATGGATTTCTTCTTTGTCCATCCGAAATGGTCAATGGCGTGGGTATGCTGGGCTAGGACATGATCCGGAAGGAAAGGTTCTGGGGATTCTCGGCATGGGCAATATTGGTAGTGTAGTAGCCAAACGTGCCGCAGCGTTTGACATGCATATTCAATATTACAGCCGCAATCCTCTTCCGCGGAAAGGACACCTCCAGTTGTCAGATATGTTTCCTTTGAAGACCTTCTCAGGACAAGCGATATTATTTCAGTACACCTTGCACTCTCGGATGATACTAGCTAGGTACACGCTCGGCTCGAACGAATTTGCATAAATGAAGGATGGAGCCATTCTGATTAACACTTCTCGTGGGTCTATAATTGATGAGCAAGCTTTGGTTGACGCCCTTGAGTCTGGTAAACTATACAGCGCTGATTTGGATGTTTTTGAGAATGAGCCTCAAGTACATTCGAACCTGCTAGCAAATGAGAATGTTGTCCTGACTCCGCACATGGCTGCTGGCACTGTCGAGACAATTGTAAGCACCAATAATTTCGGTTACTTTCTTCGACTAACGCAAAGTAGCACAAATCAGAAGTTCTTGCCATGTCTAATGTTCGGAACGCACTTCAGCATGGGACGTTATTGACGCAAGTTCGTGAACAACGAGCTGAATAAATATTCAATCCCTAAAATCGGTGACAATATTTGATGGCTTGCAGATGATTGCCGCATGAGAAAAGCTTGAATATCGGCACAGCTTTTGACTATTAGGGGTTTCTTCGTATTTCTTGCAAGGTAAACAGTAACAGGGTAGACGAATGAAGAAATGACTTTCAACATAAGTGCATGATACGAGGCTCTGTGCAGTTTGTAAGACCATAATTATTCAGGCTTAATTGACGCACCTGCAAAAAACCAATTTCTTTGACAAATGGTAACCACCTATGGTAGTATTCGATTCTGCTTATTCTAGATCCTAGGGTCATCGCGAAATCTTCGGTACAAGGCCATAAATTTCCATAAATAAGTCTACAATTCCTCATTTGCAAAGATATTTCTATTCTCAGATTACAGACCCAATTCGATTGGAATTCTCGAAGACTACGGCCGCAAAATCAGAGTAGCAAAACAGCAAAGATGACTCGCCTAACATCTAAATTCTTCCTCTTTACGATCGTATCTCTCGCGATTGCTTCTCCACTGAATCCCGCTGTGGAAATCATCGCCCGGACTGCAGCACCCCAAGACGATACACCAACCACAACCATTACAGCCACTACAACTGATTTGCCTACCACCACTGAGGTACCCACTACAACTAGTACCCCTACAACTAGTACCACATCCTCCGCCGCAATCGCTACGAAAACTATCGACGGTTGCAATGTTCAAGGTATAGCCGACACAGCACTTGCGGCACGGTATTTCGGATCAGCCTCTTACGCCGACATTCTGAAATGTCAATCGACTTGTCGTGGTGTAACAGCATGTATATCATACTCATGGACGCCCTTGAATAGTAACTGCACGTTGTATAATTCATGGATGGATGACTTTAACACGGGTGATACTTCGGGCTATGTGCTATTGAGTGATGATAGTGGGACTTTCTTTTCGGATAAATATCCGAGTGACGGGAGCGATTTTTGTTACAGTGCTATTTAAAGAGAAATAGGCGGATTGTAAAGGAGTGTTTCCTGAAGGTAGTAATACGAGTGGAGACATAAGTCACTTTAGGGAATAAGGTCTCAAGTCCCTCACATGCTAGAAAAAGAGGGATATAATTGGCTCGATCATGATTAGATTCTTGTTAAAGATATCAAACATTGTCCGCAGACTCTGAATCTTCTGGTTCCACCACACGAGTCACTCAGAGTAACCTTACGGCGATTCGCTTTGTTCTTTTTTTTTTCAATTTATCATATCGTTCAATCCTCTTGGCGGAACTGTGGAAATTGTCCGAAAGGTCACGTGAAACTCACGTTATTTCTTCTTTCGCTCTAACCAATCATTCACCAGACTAGTGGTAAGCAAGGCTTGCAACAAGAATTCATCACATAGGTCTCTAAAAGCAAGTTTCTTATGACAATCTATGTGGCTGTGACCTCGGGTCGACCTTCCTTGCCCCATTTGCGACCCTCTTCATCACGATCTCATGCATAATCTAGATCCCGTACCCATTCTTTCTATAAATTACGTCAATCTCACTCCTCCCTATCATCAGACTACCCCACCATTGATGTCTGACAGGTGTTACTCATGACATGCGTTCTAGAAGACCGTTGGTTGGACCCTCCAACATCCCAGTCATTTTTAATATACGATCTACGTCAGGGTCCAACATGGATCCTAGCCTTGATTTTTGGAAAAAACAGGAAAATCCTGAAATTGCCATCGACCCAAGATCGAGAAGATGATGGAAGTGATCCACCATTTGTGGCGTCAATATGCATATGCCAACACGGGGTTTAGACGAGAATAGTTGGGTTGGAGAACTATATATCTGGGGGCTTTCTGCCGGGTAATTTCTCCTTCTCAACATCAACGAACAAATCATCTGCAAATATACATACGATTTCTACATCTCAAAATCAAACACTAAGTCCCTCCTCCAAATCAAATCAAACCCAACCCCTCAAACCAAAATAATCATGTCTCAAGGTGGGGGACTCCTCGGCGGACTCGTCGGCGCACTCGATAACACTCTCACAGGCGGCGCCCAAGCCAATGGACAAGGCGGCTTACTCGGCGGAGTCGGCGGTGCCCTCGGCAAGACAACTGAAGGACTCGGAAACACATTGAACACTACTGTTCGCGGCGTTGGTGATGTAGCTGGTGGCGCTACCAACACTGTTGGCAATGTTGCCGGCGGAGCTACTGGTGCTTTGGGTGGTGTCCTTGGAGGTGTCACTGGTGGAGGAAGCGGTGGAAGTGGTGGTCAACAATTGAACGCTTGGGGAGAACCAATCAAGAAGTAAAGTGTTGACCAATATGGCACAACACATTGCTTGGGATACAAGATAATGAATTGGGATGGATTAGATGGGAATACTTTATACAAGAGTGGAACTGGAGCGAGGATCGTTTGTTTTTCCGACACAAATTTGGTTGGTCGTTGACCTGAGAATGGTTTTTGATGTTTTTTGAACTGTAGATTGCGATATTTGTGGTCACAGTACTGTTTTATGATAATGAAATTCATTACTTGTTTCGTCATATGATAGCTCTATAAGTTATTGTAATCGTATTCCATTTATGCAAGTTAGTTAGTGGAAGTTGCTATATTATTCCAAGACTTTAGAACTAGATTGGATGAACAAATCCTTGCTGAATCTGTTCAACAATTCGTTTTCCTTTTTCTTAAAGTTTAATTGAAATTTATATCCGAATGTCGAATTGTGGGATTCCGCTAAATAATCTATCATTCAGTGAATCTAGTATATTCATTGAGAGGAAGAATGTGAATCCTCAGAAATCATCCTAAGTCATACAACCTTCGCAACAACATGCTCAACCACAGTAGTTCGCACACTATCAGTAAACCCGCACGAAATATTGCTCACAGGAAGTATATACGAGCAAGTAGGACTAGGCGCACAAAGACCATCGCCCTAAAACATCCACTCATTAGTATGCAATAAAGCCTACATGTTCAGCACCACTCTCCTTCTATGAACTTACCCCAAGACAACAATCGAGTACTTTACCACTCTGGTCTAGTTTGGCGGAGAATTGAGGGATGGTTTTCTTGCTCACAGTCGCTGAAGCAACGAATAATCCCACCCTAGCGTCGTTTTTCGGCAGCCCGGTACCATTCGTATTCGCTTGATATTTCTAGAAAAGTTCTGTATTGAAGATTCTTTCTCATAATATCTATAGAGTCATTGTTGGCTTGAGAAGGATACGAAAGACGTAGCACCTACGAGCTGTAGGTCCTAAATCTCTATATTGTATTCTGTCTAAAGAGCTAACTAATCTACAGATAATAGGCACTAAATAAGGGCTATCGATAAAGCTAGTCTCTTTCGCGTTCGCTTAGTTAAGTACAGTAGCTATTGAATTGAAGTCATCCACCTACGTTCATACAATTATTGATAGGTAGAAATGATTATTTTTGGTGTAGATTGCTGATCCAAAAGAGGGGTGGTCCGAAACTGGGGTACTCAACTTGTAAACGAGTGCCATTATACCTGCGGAATTATATTATAGCCGTTCAAGATCCTTTTCTTACCGTTACAGGCTTTAAGAGCACGACTGAACAAAGTGACACAGTCTACAGTATTCATGCATTATTTGCGTTCCTCTCATGAGGTGGCTAAAAGTAGGAGTAAGAGGGGAACACATTCAATAGAACAACTAGTAACTCCTTCCTAGGTCTAAAATTGAAGTTTCTTCTCCAATATCGCTCCACATCTACATGCCTTCTGAGCCTATCGCCCAGGCCACTTCTTCATATCTCCTCAATTTGCTTTCTCCTCTAGCGCTTCTGATAACGAACGACGGTGTGGCGTGTTTGGTCTAATTATCCAAATCTTGTTAAATATTCAATCTTTACAACCGGAAAGCGAAAATCTTACTGTCTATAGAAATAGTAGCAAAGGTATGCGCTGAAGGATATCTGGGACAAAAGTATGCCATCTGCATTTGATTTGTCGACATTGATGAATATCGGTAACACAAGTGAGAAGAGAAGGATAGGCGAAATTATATATGGCAGGGACTGCTCGATTTTAATGAATAGGGGTGGCAATTGGAATTCTCTGTTATTCAATTAGGTTCAATATACGTTTGGGTGTTCAATTCTCAGATGGATCAGGGATAAGTGAGGACTCACGGCATCTTGATAAAATATATGAATGTAATGCTTTATTTGATTGAGTAGATAACGATACTTGCAGAAATGCAATATATACCTATAGCTCAGGTCTGCTTGGATGACAGGTTAGACAGACGGGCTATCATCGGCGAATCTATACGAGAATTGCTCCGCTTGGAACCACAGTCACCAACTGTTGGAGAAAACCCTTCAAATATGGGGCAATAAACGACTGTCTAAGTTACCAACTTCCTAATTTGAAAGAACCTACTCAATGCTACTTACAGCACAAAGATTATAGGACACGAGAGCATATCGCGTATGAACCGAGCTTAAGCTAAACTTTGTGGGGTTTAAGCTTCCTAGTTTGAGTTAAGATCTGTCTCAACTAATTGAATCAATTGATGTAACGGATAACAATTTTTCCCAGAAACCCGTTTTTGTATATGCGAGGAAGTTTTGTCTACAAGGTCGTAGAATTAAGCTTATTAGTCTCTCGAGTTGACACGGGATGCATCCGACCGGATTCAATTAAGCCTGGTCCCGCTAGTTAGTTCCACTCAGGCCCGCTTTAGCGGCATAATTAGGCCAAGCACTTTGTTCAAAGCATCGAAAAAGACAGTCACGCCGGGGACAGAAAACACCGCACATTCAAGAGACAGTCATGTTTCAAAATTATGTATTAAGTCAATTGATTGCTACTCTGATATGAAATTCAGATAGAGTCCTTAAAACATATTGCATGTTAATAATTATCTAGATTTCCTACACTCGCTTCATAATTAGTGATACAATACAGTATTGAAGTGAAGAAGCTTTTATCGTTTTGTGATTTTGGGGAGATTCGGTGTGCAGTTTTTGTCCGCCTAGGGCGTGACAGTCTCCTGTCTTTCTGTGGAGTGGTGGCCGAAGTTGATCGGTGCGATCTAAAGTCCAGCTAACAATTCGGTCCGAGCCGCCTGCACCCGCGTGTGAGTGGGGACAGAAGGTGTAGTCAAAGGGCGTTACTTGCATGACTTATTAATTACCTAGGTGGGGTATAAAAGAGATCGACAGTTGTATCATACTTTCGGATCAACACAACTCATTCCTCACTTGTAAAACTTGTCTTCTGGCATCTATTGTGGAAACTCTTCAACAATAACTCACACTAAGCTTTTTTGAGCCCTCGCTCTTACCGGGCCGAAGCTTATTCTACAGAACTTTCATTTTCTTCCGACTGAAAATAAAGGGAATAAGAAACGGTAGAAATCCCATAGCAACATTCCATGTATTGATATCTCAACTAGCACGTGACAAACCGAAATAGCACTCTTTTGTTACACCATCGCTAAGCTTATAGGGAGAATCTTATTGAAAAGTTGTTTAGGGTGAGTTCTTGTTGGTGAATTGATCCAGGTATTGGAATACTACTGGAATCTTCACATGTCAATAAGGAACTACAGCCCTTGTCGGAAATCATTCCTCTTATATCATAGCTCTCAGGGTAAAACAGAATCTAACAGACGTATTACCCTCTTGTTATTATATAATTTGTATTTGCTGGAGTATTTGCTTCAATGTCCGGTAAGGATTGTGCTTCGTAAGGATATCGGTATTAGCTCGTGCTAAGGAGTGGAGGGCACATCCATATAGGCGGAAGTTTATTTAAATGCCCATGCAAGAAGAGGCTTACCTCCTCAAAGGTTGGATGCGGGGCAATCGGAAGAATCATCCGTAGACAGTGGTTAAGTGGTTAATTGAGGAGCAAAGCTACCAGAATTTTGGAAGCGGAACTCACATTTCAACGGACTAGTTTTTTCTCTGGCTATTTGTACATATAATGCAAATATAAATCGAAATTCTCAAGAACTCAAAACTAAAAAACTAAAAAAAGAAGAAATTAGTATCAGTGACTTCACTCTAGCCAGAAACACAGCTCAAATAACCTAAATACAGATTGGAATGGACTTATAACAGCTTTGACAAAAACAACCTCTCGAATATCATGCTTAAATATTCTAATAGTACAAGCGGAATTGTGGTAGCGGACGCTGTGGGTGAGGCAATATGATTCTAGTATCCCGTAATTTAGCAGATGCATTTTCTAGTGCTAAGTTCTACTTGATTCCCATCGTAACTTCGGTGACACACTTATCATTGAACAAAAGGTGCTTCTTGATTTAGACATTGGTTATCAAACCGTCGGTATCAAAATGAATTGTATGGGTTAAAAGATACATTCTTTCGCAGTAAGAGTACCTAGCACACAAGGACCGAGAAAGAGCCAACATATTGATTAGTTCTAAAGCCTACTCACCTGAAAGCTTGGCTGTTATTTTGTACAAATACCAGTAGCTCGTCCACGATATTGTCATTTCATTACAGCTCTCTCCACTACATTACTATTGCCACTAGAACATTATCGCCAGCGCAATTACGCTTTCGCACTCTTCTTCATATCTAGCTAAACATGCGTATCACAACACCAGTCCTCCTCGCAATGATTTGCATAACATCAGTCTACTCGCTTGCAATTGACGGTCCTTCAACAATCAATGGGCAACCGATGTGACGGCAACGGAGTCAAGTCATAGTGATAGAATGAATCAATTATCGTAACTAGAGAATAACAAACTACTGTACAAAGAGTGAGCCTGAAGAGGGCTTTTATAGGTCCTATCGGATAGGGCCAGGATAGGACCAAGATAGGACCAAGATTAGGCGAAGTGATTTGCCCTGCCTGGTGGGGTAAATGGGTGACTAATCAAGGCTTAAGGCCGAATCGTCACAACCGATGCCAGAAAGATGGATTAGATATGATTTGACACCTATCAACACAACAACTTCTGGCACTTCTCTCGTTTCTCGCACAAATGTCAGGGTCTGTGAGCGAGTCCTGACAATAATTACTGTTAGTAAAACCTTATATTTCCTTTAATAACTTTTAGGGCACCCAATAGGCTGAAATACACACTCCGATCTTTGTAAGACGTTCTACAAAGTCTTCAGATTTACTTGAGAACTGTCCACGGAGCTATAAACGCTCATCTTTTCGTGGCTCAAGCGATACTGATTCTCGTAAAGCAATGCCTCACCATCGTCAATATCGTTGTCACTCTCTCCGATACCATCGGAGCCGCGATTAAGTCTCTTTCAGACGCAGGTAGTTGCGGCAAGTCTTCTGGTTCATGTAAGTCATTTTCTGTTATAGAATCCGTTTCTTTCCCAACAAACAGGAGTTGTGAAGATATCTCAAAAGCTGCAATCCTAATTATCTGGTGGAAAAACAAATCGGACTTGAAAAGTAACTGTGTTCTAACTTTAATTCAGTGGACGGTGTTTCTTGGGTGTATTATGCGACTGGTAGAAACTGTGACACAACTGCAGAAGTCAAAACTATCCAGGGAGCTATCAAACAACACTTAATAACCACCGACGGAAATTCTCTGTGTTCCACAGAATGTCTCGATCTCACCCACTCAGGTACCTGGAGCGGCTTCCTCCTTATCCCTGTGGTAGCAGAATCCGTGGTTGACGAAGTGATCCTTTCGTAATTGCCATAAATTCTACAATACCTTCATTATATATTGAATAAATCGTTTTTAAAGTATTAATATGATTAATCTAAATCTCTATACCTTACAAGGTTTATTCTAATCAATAAGGTCTTAATGAAATTCTTGAATTTGAAAAGCTTTTAAGTTTTAGCCTAAAGCAATCATTTTCAGATCGAAATATCTATATATATTCAAATTAAATTGTTCTCTTATTTATTCAGTACATTCTATATTATATAACACAATAGTAAAGCTTTTAATTAAAGAATAAATTAAAAGTGAATAATAAGCAATAGGAATACTCCCCTTTAAACTTTCGGCTAATACTTTCCATTCACCCTCTAGCTCCTACACTCATTCCCCCCCTCTCCTCTTTAACTTTAGTTCACCTCTTTAACCTCCCCCTAATTCATACACTCGCTCCCTTCCGTCCACCTTACCTACAACTTTAATATTCAAAGATCTCGAAATTCCTAAGACCTCTTAAAACCCTTATTTTCTTTTTTTCCATTAAAATTCAATAATAAACGGATCACAAAAAGAACTGATTTGATTCGTCAATAACGAAAAGCTTTATTCATTATTAACAAATATATATATCAATATTATAATATACGAAATAGAAATTTGTATAGGGATTTATACTGAATTTATCTTTGTCCGAAATATTAACTTTGCCACCACAGGGATATTGAACCGACAAACAGCTTTGATAGCACCATGTACTGTGGGCCCAGTCTTTCTTTCGGATCATGCACATCCGGAGGTAAAAATGACATATAAACCTACCCCTAATCTCGTGTTGGGATAGAACTTGATAGAATTGCGGCGGGTTCTGACGATAATTTGCCTTAATTTAATTCTATTGGGGTGGGTTCCAAAACAAATGATTGGGACAGAAACCAGGCCAGGGTCGATATTACTTCGTGACAAAAGCCTTGGTGTTGATATACTTGAGTGATACAACTGATGGTCAAATTATTGTATTCGTGACTACAAGTGGGGGTTTCGGAAGGTTAAAGGAGTAGTCCTGCTTATGCGGAAAAAGAGGAATCTCACCAGGCCAAATTGAAGTCTCGCAAAACTTTCGTTCTGTTCTTAATCATGGGGGTGACTTTCCTATAGGGGGAGCTTTTTCTTAAAAAAACACTTTGAGTCAACTTGAGTAGATATTAGAGTAGTAGTAGCAATTCAACATTGTGGCACTACCAAAAAAATAATCTTTTAAGCTTGAGTCTCTTCTCGAAACAATTAATTTCAAAACAAATACTCGGTATCAATTGGTATTTGTAAACCGAAAAAGATGATAAGAGTGAAAATTGAATTGTGACTAGATACTCGAATTCAAATTTACATAAAGAAGAGGTTAACGTAAATGATGTTCTAGCTAATAGCGAAGATTCCTACATCGATTTTAAAAGATAAGAGATTGATAGTATAATTAAGGAACGAAATTCACAGGAAGAAGTGAACGCAGTGTTTGTACTGATATACGGTAGTACAATAGTGGTGTGTATTAAGCCTGTAATATAATATCTTGTATATATAAAAAAGGATTATATCACTTCTACCGATATTCAATATATTGAATATCACTAGAAAGATATAGGAATATAGGAATTCGATTTGGAATACCCTTTTTAAACCCAAAATGGATTAGGAATTCATTAATGTCTTTTGGAATACCTATTCCCAAATCTATATTAAAATAAAAAGAAGCATTCCAGATCGAATTCCTGCATTCTCACATCTTTTAGTAATATTCAATATTATTTCAATATTGAATATCCTTAGTAATATATAAATCGATATTATCTATATAAATATTTTCGAACATATTGATATGCACCACTATACAGGAACTAATATACGAAATTCGAGCAATACTAGTAAGAACACTAAGTGGATATTATAAATAGAAGTCTAATTAATACGAGTGAATAACCATATAAAAACTACAAAGGGAGAAGGAAGATGAAAATAAAACTCTAAGATTGACCTGCAGTGCGGGTGAAATCACTACTCATTTTGAACTCTCTTTGATGTCAATAGGCACCTTATTGTAATTGAAAATGGAAAAGCTCGACAGTAGAACAATGATACCTTCGAGCTCAGCGATCACCTCAAGCGGCAATAGTTCTACTCACTATTCAGACACATAACAAGAACACCTAGTTATTGTATGTGTATATTTCCGTGAATAGTCTCAAGACTCGGCATGTTAAGATAGTGGCCCCCTTTTAGCGACGGTACGAAAGATTAGCGAAACGCATTGTTACCAAAAGCGCGCACCCCCTTTTTCTCTTCTTTAGATAAATGATAGCCGTTCAGACCGCGATTAAACTCATAAGAAACTAAAACAAATAAGGAATTATATCACAATCCTCCTTCAAATCGAAACTCTCAAATTTCCCCTGCAATCTCCCACCTTGCACATTAATCCTCTCCTTCTTTCCATTCCCATCCGTCTCCATATTCATACTTTTACATTTCCATCCCCCAAGATCAGTGCTTTCCTTCACCAATACACCGATAGGAGGTTGTACCATACTTCTTCTTGGGACTATCAATCCTTGAGATGGAATTGAAGAATGTGATCCGATGATAATTTTCCCGACTTCTTCTTTTCCTTTCGCATTGTCTTTCTCCTTCTTAGATTTTGAGGGAGGAAAATAATACACATTTCTCGATTCTGCTGATCGGGGAAGATATATTGGATTTTGAGTGTAGCACACGGGAGCTGTGTTATCATCCGCGCCTTTAAATAATGGGATCCTCATAACACTCAACTCTTCTCCTCGTGTAACAAAGAATAGTTCTCTATCCGTCCACGTTAGAGTATACGGTAGTCGACTGACGCTCATGGAAGAGCTTTCTCCCAGTGGTACATTTATCTTGAATAACAATCGAGGAGGACTTCTAGCCGTTTTGCGGGAGGACAAATGGTGGGTTGAAACTTGGAGACTAAGATGCATTTTAGGTTCGCTTTCAACGAGACAGCCTTCGAGGGCCGCAAAATGAATGAATTCACCACAGGAGGAGAATCTAGTCTTGACGAAAATGTGACAGGAGTGATATGTAGAACAGCAGAGTTCTCGGGTAAAGTATGTATTGGTTAAGTAATTTGCGAACAATATTTTGCCATCCCCTAAGGGCCAGACCAGAAGTGGTATTGTTGGGTGAAAGGTGGGAGGGGAGTGGAATATCCCGCCAGATACACGTTGCGAAAAGTGGAAAATTGGCGGTTTTTCTTGCGTCGTAGTGTCAAATATTTGTATTGAAACGCGAGGCGCATCTTTTCCCAGGTTTTTGTTCCCAAGGTAGAGGATTTCTAGTTTATGTGCCTCTTCATTATCCACGATATTTTCATCGCTCTGGCTATCACCGCTCTCCGAACCACTATAGAGACTTTGTGAATAATGACTAGCTACAGACGAGTCTGCATCTTCGGGGTCCGTTTCCAAACGAGCACGTTTTAAAACGTACCCCGGTGCTCCGGATAAGATCATCTCGATATCAGAATCTTTACCGATACCCCCCATTTCCTCTTCGTTTCCTGATTCATTCAGTTCATCCGAGAGATCATCGTAATCTGGAACGTCTGGAATATCAGAGCCCAAATCGTCACCATCGTCCGATCTTTGATCATCGGAACCATCAAAATTTTCATTGAGATCTTCAATATTGAATCGCTCATTAGCCCAATCGTTCCATTGATCATCGTCGTCTAATTCATCCGAATCACCTAATGTTGACCCTTCACTCCAATCCGTCTCTGCTGAATTATCATCGGAACTGATATCAGACGCGTCCACTAGGTCATCAAACTCTTCAATAGTGATATTCTCATATTTATGTTTACCAGTATCGATGGCATCTTCGATTACAAGTGATAAAACAGAACTGTTGCTCGACGAAGAGCTAGACTGACTCGATTGCGATTTTTCGATAGTGGTAGTTGGAGACGTTGAGGCCTTAGTCGCAGCTTGTTCCTTGCCTTTGGCTAGCTGTTGAATTATTTTCTGGGTTATATATTCTCCATAATCAAGTATGAGATCGTCTGTTGGCTGTATGTCAAGAAGATTCTCATGCGATAAATTTTGTCTTGAAGCTATGGCGATATATGGTCCAGAGTTGGCCATATCTTCGAAATATAGTTCTTTTTCGAAAATATTGATAGATGTATATTCGCCATTTTGTTTAGCGAATAGTTGTGAGCCAATTCGCAGGTACTGAAGATCAGGTGTAAGAGAAACTGGAATAGGGCGCCCAAGAGCCCTTTGGCTGACTGGATGATCGTACAGACACCAGTTCATGCGAGATGCATTGAGCTTTTGCGATACTGTAAGCTTAGGACGATGAGTACCAAGTGTCCACTGTTGACAAATAAATTCAAGCTCTTCGGAACTGCCCTCCCTATTTAAAGGTTAAAAACAGTAATTCATATGAGAAGAATGGTATATGCACTCACAAATTCTCTATCTTCAATACCACCATATTTTGACCCGCGGGATCAATCCCGTCATAGTATCGAGAAGGTATTTCCAAATCCGGCTCTTCATTTGTAGTCTGAAATATGAAGTTTTTGTAACGACTTTGACCACGTTGCAAGAAGTTCTTAGGGCCCATAGAAGCCCAAAAGACCCGATCAATTTCACCGGGGTACTTGCCTCCCAAATTCGTAACTCTATCCAGAACATGATTCCATTCACCAACAAAATTGCTGTACTTGATTTCCAGCTTCTTGTCACAATTACTAGAAAGCCAGGCTGGGAATACACGTCTTAAATGCGGCCCTGTCCAGGTTCTGTTGGATTCGAGCCAGAATTGAAATTGTCCTGTATGCCATTAGATTCATGAAGGATGCAATTCCCAGTATCAAAGATCTTACCTCCAATGAACAAACTTTGAACCTGTAGGCATGTGAAGAACTGTGGTGAAGTGATGAAGCTCTGTACTCTCGAGCATATTTCAGAAGTATATGTAACTCCGTCAAGATGCTTGTCCCAATACTTCGCAGCATAAGAGAGCAAATGGTGTTCCATCACGTCTTCGCCTGTGTAATCCTCGAAGGTGTCCTTGGATTGGATTAATAGCCGCTGGTAACGTGATTGCCAGAGATATTTCAGACAAACGTTAGCCATGACTTCCTCTGTAATCTCACATGCTAATATCTCTGATCTGCTCAGACATTGAGGGTGTTTCACGAGGAACTGTCGAACAGAACCGTGAGTGAGAGTACATGTTGAGATTTTGCCATGTGCGGTATCAACGTCCTCGATTTGGACTAGAGGCTCACACAACTTCAAAGCCATGCTCCGAAATAATTTCTGTGACTTATCAACATTGTCGCAATCGGACGCATCAAGAATCGCAATCGATTCGCATAGCTCGTCCAATCGTAGCGGTCGTCGTGCATATACAATACATGCTAGGATTTTGCTAAGGATCACACTTTAGTGTTATTTTTCTTTTCATGTATGTTGTGAGACTTACGAAACAAAGGATTTTTGTGATGCCTCGATTTTGTCTATTTTATTCTGGTAGTAGTTCTCATAGTCTTTGGGTAAGCCCTCTTGAACTTGATATTGCACAGCGGACAGCGTCACCGCACTAGAAACAGAGTCTAACATAAGCGATGCCCATAAGAAGCATCCATCTGCTTTCTGGCGAAGGTCCTGTAGTATTAGATTTTGATATCCTTCATCAAGATCTAGACTATCAAGCTTCAAGATCGACTTCGACAGATAAAGCTCGATATCAGCACTGTTTATGTCCTTAGTAACCTCGATTACTGCACAGTCTTTCAAAAGCTTCTTAAGATCGGTCCGATCCTGACTACTGCACCATAGCTTGAACTGATAGGACTTATCACGCGTAAGCTCGATGAAAAAACTCAAAGCATCCGACAAAGCTTCCCATCGAGGACCAGAGTCGCATTCCTCATCCAGACCGTCGAGAAATAGATAAGATGGAGGGAGACGACTTAAACTCATGCGAATAAAGGTTTTCACGTCTCCGATCATAAAAGCAGTACTCGTTTGCTGTGTGAAAGCATGGATGTCTTCAGGCATGTCTTCGAGATGTGTCCATAAGCGATTGGCGAGCTGCTCAGCTACAGCGCAATAGACTTGAAGAGATGAGAATATTTCATCGAATGAATAATACTGATGTAGGGAGCACAAAGATAAATTGGTCTGAAATGTGCTTTGTGTAAAGGCGGTTAGAACAGATTTTCCTGCTCCAGGCACCGCCCTAACCCAAAGCACAGGACTCTTTGAATCTGGCTTCTTCCAATTTTTAAACTCATCATGAGAAAAGAGCCAAGAGCATGTGTCAGGGCTTCGTTTCTTCAAATACTGTTCTTGACGGCGGAAATTGCTTTCATTGAGAGTTGAATGACCTCGTAACCAATTTCTCACGTCTTTTTGACGCCCACCTGCATTCTCTGTTAGCCAATTGTACATTAAATATTATTTGTTACATACTTTTCCTTGCAATGGCTCTCAGCTTCATCTCTTCTAGTTGTTGCTCGATGAATGCACTTTGTTGGTCTCGAGCGATACCTGCCAAACGTCTCTCTTCTGCTGCATCCTCCCGCTCACCTTTTTGAACACGTTCTTGTACAACAGGAACTAATTTACTGACCCGATCAGCATTTTTTTCGATGTCCTTGATAATTACATCTAGTTTTGAGGTACTGAATGAAGACAATGCTCTGCCCATTCTATTGGCAACTTTAAACTGTTAGTTAGAAGGCACGTTGAAATACTACGAGATACGGACCGCATCGACGACATTCTTTGTCCACTCGAACCCAAAACCTGATCACATCAATATATGTCATTTGAAGTAGTTCTTGCATGGTCTTTGAGTCTCCAAATAGTTCCTCAAACTCCGTGAGCACATTGAGCTGAAGAGTAATGTCTTCGAGTTGGTTCTTGATATCATCATATAAATTCAGATATCGTTTGGAAGTATCGATGACGATCTTCATGCACCCCCAAATGATTGCTGTCGGCATAGGATCCGCATTACCTAAGAGTATAAATTATTTGTTCGTTATTCCGATGATGTTTGACTTACTCATAGTGTCAACCACACCCGAATAGTCAGCAAGAACCGTAATCACCGGCCTTAACACTTTCCTAATGTTCCGCGTTACCGCAGAATCTGTGGTCTCTTTTTCGAGCTGCTTCAAAGCGTTGTTTACATCTTGCTTGGAAGGGGGCTTGGGTGAACTTTGCATATCGGCGATCAATTGAGGGGTCCTGCTCTTCTTTCCCCTTCGCTTGATGTACTCCTCAAGAGCACGATTGAAAGGCGATGCATCATTCTTCACTTGAAGCTTGAAGGATACAGTTTTTTGCGGTGGCATCTTAGGTTCTGGAGGCATGGCGATTTCTTTCTACCTCTAGTCACACCGTTTTCGTCTCATAGAATTATGGGATATTCAGACGCTGTGCAATCCTGATCAAAATCCATCGAAGGCTCGGGTATTTCTTCGACTTTGAGAAATTTATCCTTGTGGCTCAGCAATGCAGGCAAAAATTTACCGGTATGTAACGAATCAACGCGAGAAATCATTACAGGGGATGGTGTTAGTGCTGACATGCCAATCTTGTTGTTACCTTGTGAAATCCCTTCAGGCTCCATTGCTGGGGTGGTGTTCTTGAGAATGGGGTAGCTGAAGCTGCTAAGTGACGACGACGACGACTTCTGCCATTGATCGACACATTTCAGCTGTAACAATACTACAATCAATACCAACGCTGAAATTGATTTGATCTTATTATCACAGGAGAATTATAATAAAAGAAACCGATGTGTTGCATCGTTTTTGTTGAATGAGAAATGAGTTCGAGGCATACTGTAGTTGCACTGTATCTCCGAAGACATACTAGTTCTGACCCCACGTTAAATTTAAAGCCCGACACCTGAGATAAGGTTGAATTGCCGCCAATGAACGATAAGCGACCAGCTTCATTCGCGAACATCATGACCCCCCTCTTCACCGTGCATCACGATCATGTTACTCTATCTTCCATTGGGCTCAATGGGATAATATTAATAACCCCCATTATGCTTGTTCGCATGAAATGTAAGCTCAATGTGGTATCAAATCAAATCTAAAGCAATTCCTCGTCTATCATTTCAACCCCGAATTCTCTTTTTGATTCTTGATTCCCCTCTTCTGTTATTTTTATATTTCAGAGTAGACTCTGCTCTGCGATAGACTCACCAGTATAGACAAACTTGCATAGGGTTAACTATGGCGTCTTCTACTAATTCAACGCCAGCGGATGACCAAACTGAGCCTCCTTCAATTGGAATCAAAAGGGTAGAAACAGCTCAGGATAGCAAAGCGCAAAGGCTCCTGCGTGTAGATCAAATGTGAGTGCTGCTTGTATTCACTCATGATAGAAGTTCAAAGCTGATGATGTATGCAAAATAGTTATAGCAGGTACGTCCTTCGATCTCCCTTCACTCGCCGACCAATACCAATGCAACCACAGAAAGGACCGGCAGACACACTTTGTTAGAACTGCAAAGGCTACTGTCAAGCCAGATCGATTCGGAAAGACAGCATTGGTAGTACGTCGCATCATATCAAGACAAGGCTAGTTGTGCCCTACTCTGCGGTTTAAACAAATATATTAATGGATGTCAGGTATGCTCGCGGCAACGGAGGTAGATATCAAGTCGGTTCTACTGAAAGAAGTCCTTCTGGAGATATTTGATGGTGTCGAGGGACTCAGTCTAAATAAGACCCCTCCTATGGTTCGTAAACCTTTGTAGACTTCCGTACAAATGCTTATACGAAGCAGTGCTCGCCCGAGATACTTTTCCATGCCAAAGATGCCTTGACATCGAGAAAAGCAGATGAGAAAGAGAAAGACGATCCAAACCAAATTCTGATCAATGATATCGGTACAGCGCTGCGGTTTATAAATGAAGATTTTGGTCCCCAGATACAAAGTTTAGATTCGTTGCTTAATAATGGTGAAATCACATTTGACCTGCTATGGGCTTTGATGAAGCCAAAAGATTTCGTGGTTTCTATGCAGTTTAGGCTTACAGGCCAAAGTCAAGCTTTGAGTGTTGTCAGTGGGACCTATCTTAGGAGACAGAATTCTACGAATTATTTCAAGCTCAACGGCCGCATGATCTCTCATGACGGAGAAGATTTTGGCTATGGCTTCGTAGACACCGAGATAGATGAGTTCGATGGTGCGAGGAAAATAACTTCGTTAACGGCATATCCCATTCAATATGATCCAAATCCAGATATTCTCCGTAAGAATTTGATCCAACGAGGGCGCAAGTATTTGTCCTTGATTCGAGCTCTTCCTCAGGCTTTTTGTCAAGAGTATACTATGGATTTTGGTTTGGAAGATCATGAAACTTCGAACGGAAAAATTCAGGCCCAGAAAGCTAATGTATGTTACTATATTCTCTTACAAAGTGTCTAATAGTCTGGACTGCAGCGCGACGACAAAAGGCTATCGATTCATACACTCAATCAGAAGGTTCAATCAATTCAGTAGATGGAGGACAAGCTTGCGAATTTCGAGCTGCATTTCGGGCGTTTAAAATCACTTTTATTTTACAGTACAGCTTTTAGACTAACAAGTCATTAGTTACGTGGTCGTGTCATGGCGGATCCCGAGGCATGGAAGTTCAATAATGGTTGGACGGATCTTGCTTCACCAATAATCCAAAGGGAACACTCTATTACGGGTAAAGATTTGGATTTGCGTGATGATCACTTGTTGATTTGCGCAAACTGGATCAACGGTTTCAGTTTGACGCACAAGTCTTGGGGGCAGTTTTCTGTTGATGGCTTGGAAGACATCGTTTGGAATGAAGACGCTTTTAAGAAGCTGGTCATTGATGAGACTAGAAGGAAGTTAATCCACGCATTAGTAAGAGCTCACCGACAAGATGATGCTTCTTTTGATGACATCATTGAAAATAAAGGAAAAGGTCTCGTCGGATTGCTCAGTGGTAGTCCTGGTGTTGGGAAAACATTGACTGCTGAGGCTGTTGCTGAGGTTACCTCTCGTCCTTTGTACCAAGTGAGCACTGGGGAACTTGGAATTGATGCCGATAAGGTTGATAAACGTCTGGGTATGATACTAGAGATCACTAGACGATGGGGTTGTGTTCTGCTTATCGACGAGGCGGATGTATTCCTTGCAACGCGTGGAATCGACCTTGCTCGCGATACTCTTGTGAGCATCTTCTTACGAAGGCTTGAATACTTCAGGGGTGTTTTAATCTTGACGACAAATCGGAAGTCAGAAATTGATTCGGCTTTCCAGAGTACGTAATATTCCTAGTGGTAATGCAATTGGCTAACACCAGAATAGGTCGTATACACTTCTCTATCCACTATCCTGATCTAACAGAAAGTGGCCGTGTGATTGTTTGGACTAACTTTATCGACACTGTCTCGAAGCAAACGGGAACGCCTAGCCTCGATTCGGCTGATATCGAAAAACTCGCAAGACTTGAGTTGAATGGACGACAGATCAAGAATGCGGTCTCATGTGCAGTATCACTCGCAAGAGAGGAAAAAGAGCCACTTTCCGTGAATCATATTGAAATGATCTTGAGTATCACGAATTTGTAAAATGTCGGACTACTTGCGACCATCAAGACCTGGTGAAAAATGATAGTTTGAAATATTCTCTGGGTATTGATCGTAACAATACATATATTTGCATAAATCCAAATTTGCTTGAGCAACAGCACACCACCAAATGCTGCCCACAGTTTTGATCCTACTATTTGCGACGAATTTATTGACAAAAAGATTTTTCTCTGTGGTTTCAATTTAAAGGAACTTGTGTTGCGCTAGTACTAGCAAGTCATCAATCATCACTCACGTGAACAAAGTATTATATTGGAAGGTATTATCAGTTGAATATCTATTGGTATCTGAAGGCTCAGTGTGCAAAGCTGCGACATAGCAAGAAGTCACAAGATGCGAATCCTCTACCCATTCCCAGTTAACCCTTTCACCCATAACGCCGGAAACCCACCGAGAACGAGATTCTAGCCCACAAGAGACTTCTTAACAGCCCATTTTTCCCCAGTCATTCAGCAATCTAAAAAGAGTATCATTACGCTTTCTCCAGAAAAGTAGAAGAGACGGGAAAAGGAACACTAGAGAGTTCCGAGAGGTTTATTGTTCAACGAACTCTGTCCCCTATCACCAAATCACCTATCATCCTTGTGAGCCATACGCCCTCTACCATCCGTCATCCGTCATCCACTTCCCACAGAACCTTACTATCCCATAGTTAGCGAATCCATTTACTGATTTGCATTTCTTCTCCCAAGTCTAATCTTGACCAGACCATATCTAGCACCAACAATATCCCAGATAAATCTATACAACAGAATCACAAACAGAATATAGCAAGGCCACAAGATACTAATATGGTGAAATGTGTTATTCGTACACAAATCATTAGCATCGATGTAGTTGCAAGTCGCAACCGTGAGATTCGAACCAAAAAGATTGAAATCGCTGACTGGGGCAGTCGTACCATTTCCATAATTGACGGTGCCGTTGACGACTTCAATATTCTTCATGTCAACTGAAACTGTGAATTTGATATCGTTTGTATAGACTGAAATCAAAGCAATAGGCAGCATGATAGCGGTACAGAGTCCAACAGAGTAGATGCTGACCATCCAGAAATCGTAGCACTTGCTGCAGCGCATGCGCTTCATAAAGGTATCAGAATTGCCTCGATGAGCTGTCTTGTTATGTGTAGTATTTTGGAAAGTTTGAGGATTTACGGTTGGAAGTGTGCCGAGTTCAAGATCCTTGCTGACATCGTCGAAGTGATCTTGATTGAGAAACTTGCTGGAGGGCTTGGCTTTGTGGTAGCTAGCACCACTGCTCAAGTCGCCTTCATCAGAGAATGCACTAGCTGACTTGGTGGAATATGTGCTGTTTCTGTTGCTGACGGCGAGTGTACCGGCGTCGGAATCGAAATCTTGTCCATGAGATTGAGAGGAAGACATGTTTGGTTATTTTAGGTGGTTCTGTTACGTTAAAGGTAATTGGTGAGTGTATCTAACCTTGTAATGGTATTTTATGGTAGAGTCGAAATGTGTCTGTTTTGTGTTGAAGGAAGATCTTGTGACTTGGTCTTGTAAAAGTGTTATGCGTAGAAGGAAGAAAGCTGTCTCCACCAGAAGAGTAGAGTCCTTATGTATGTAAAGACGTGCAAAGTATACAACACGTAACTGACTAGTGTCATCGTTGAGAAAGGTAGCTGATTAGTGGCCATCTATTAACCGTACCCACCGTATGCACTGATTATGATTTGGTGATGAATAAGAATCCCTGAATTCTAGCTGCACCGTATCACAATCATCAAGGCCGTACCATGTCGCTTTGTAGCATTCTATTTGGGTTTCTGAGGCGTAGTAAAGCATTTGGTGAAGCAGGAAGAGTCGAAACACGGTTCTGCGAAGAATGAATGAGGTATGTATGGTTTAGGCTCCAGCAAGCTTTATAAGAAAAGAGTTCAATTTAGATATACATATATAATTCCCGTTTTTCAACTATCTATATTGCGTGTAGATCAGCAAGCTTCAAAATAGTGCTCTCAAAGTTCAATCTCGCGGCCCATCCTTCACCTCGAATATCCCTATGAACCCATTCATAGAGACGTGGTAACATACATGGACTTATCAAAGAATATCTCATCATCAACCAATACCTGGAGTAATAGTTTAAATTTAAATATTGGATTACTGCTAACATTTTTTGTGATTTCCATCCTTTCCTGAAACATCAAACTGACTGTTCAAATATGTACATTTCCCCAACTTGGACAACGTAGTCTCTTTCCCTTCCGAATATAGCCCTTTCCATCATTCACTAATGAATCGTACATGCAATTTTCTCCATGCTCACCATTCGATTTTGAAAAAATCTAATAGAAGAATGAAAACAGAGCAACACCAACTGACAAAAGGGCAAAGCCCCCGATAGCTTGGTAGCTCAACTTGTTTTCTCGATCTTGACGATCTTGAAGATCACATTCCGCGAGATACCGTTGCAAATTCGCCTGGTACTTAGCAGCTTTTCTTTCTCTAGCTCTTCTTATATTTCTTTCATACTTTTCCTCCAAAGTCATGCAGTGTACCAAATCATTTTGCACTACGTATCTTCTATACTCTTCCCATCTCCTTAATTCCATCTGCTCAACCTGCCATTCCGGATCCTGTTGCCTGAGATAAAGCTCTTTCGCTTGTTCGGCTAGATAATCGATTTCTACCTGTCGTTGAATGTGAAAGTTTTTGTAGTGCATAAATTTGCCGTATTGAGGCGATAGTCGAAATCGGATGTCGTTCCAGTTTTGGTGTTTACGTATGCTGTTGTGATACCACTCTCGTTCGCGAGCTTTAGTGAGCTCTTCTTTTCTCAATCGTTCATGGGATTGCAGGTAATAGGTCGCTGACATTTTGTGTAAATGCTGCGAAGCTTTGTTAGTATTAACCTCTGGGCCCGGGGCTGGTCATCAGCGGATGAGGAAGGGATCATAACTGGATTGCAGTGGATAGTTTAGTAGTTTTTGGGAAGTATAAAAATCTGTGAGATCAGTTGTCCTGGAACTATTATGGATCGCGATGACGCCACCTAACGATGGTGAATAGGGTCGAAATACGTGATTTGAAGATGTGATATTGATGCTGTGATCCGGAGTTATTGATGATGTTGAGCTTCAATCTTGATGTTGGTGTCGATATGGGTTGCGATATTGGGTTGGTGTCGGCTGTTGATGAAATGCGGAAGATGAGCGTTAGTAGTCATGAATCCATGGCACGATTATCTCTCAAAAGATGTGGTGGCTCAGACCGTAAGACAGAGACATGAACCGTTAGCTTAGCTACCCGCACCAGATTGTTTGAGACCGTACGACTTAGAACTTGGATCATAGGATGATGGCATATCCAAAACTGAAGCGGCCATAACTCGGTAAAAAGATGTTCGGTCTAAACTCCCAATAGACCGGACTGTAGACCGTCAATAGAATTCTTTCAATTGCTAGATTGAATTGGAACATTGAGTTTGCTTGAGGTACGAGTGCATTGCGAATAGTGAATTGTTTTTGGACATCCAAAGCTTACATTTAATCTGGTATCCCGGATTGCTAGACATTTCATGAAGCATCACCGTACTTTACTGAAGTCACACACTACCAGCAAATATGTCCAAAGAAATGATGGGAAATTTTAGTTCGAAAGATACAATTCATTGCATGGTAGGATGATCAACCCATTCTCCTGCACATTTATAGTTGATCTGATCATGGAAGCTGAAGCCCTTCGTAAACAAGAGCCCTCCAAACTATTACAACCATACCACAGCGCTTATCCTGTGAAGAAACAGACTTCGAAAATCATAACAGGTACAATATAATCATCTTTCTTCCTAGCATCGCCATATACTAGCGTTGAAGCACTCGTAAGTGCGGCGTGAATTCATATTGACCATGCCGAAGACCAATCCTTAACACGCATAATGAAATCTCGAATACATGATGACAGTTTTGAAGAATCATTAAACACTATCAGCTGTAGATAGGAAGAAACAAAGGTTCGAAATCGAGAGGAAAGTTGATGCGATGGAAAAGCCCTTGTAATCCAGAACTGTAGGATGTCAAAGTCAGTGAATGTTCATGAAGGCTAGATCTTGAAAGAAAAAAAGGGAAATATAACTCGTATACCCGAAGTAAATAGGGGGCTTTGAAAATAACTCAAGACCAGTCAAGCATACATACCTACTTGAGCAACTGAAATTAAAATAGTTTATCCAATCGACAACTGATCCAAACGAAAAACATCAGAGTAAGTGACGAAGGTTACCAAGCTGGCGTTTGATCCATCTAAAAGGCAGCAACAAGCAGCTTCTACCTTCCTTTTCGTCCCTAGCACCAACACCAGCTTGGGAGAAAGATCCATCGTCGTATTCGTCCAAAGTATCAACGTGAGTATCGGAGCGGTTATAGTCGGAGTGAGGAATGTTTTGAACCTACCATCAAATTTGAATTAGTTTGGGAGTTCTTGATAGAAAGAGTTTTCGTCACTCACAGCAGCCATGTTAGAAGCTCTGGCAGAAGGATAACGAACATCCGAGGGATTGCGTAGAAGTTCAAAGACAGCACCAACGGTAATCATTGTCTCTCGGTTACCAGCAGCATGTTGAGCGTTTGTACGAAGCTCACTTTCGGGGAATGACTGCAACTCAATGCTTCCGAGATTATCATCGAAAGATGGACGGTCAAAGCTAAAAGCTGGAACGTCAAGAGTTGCTTCATTTTGTTGATTACCAAGACCAAAGTCCATTGGAGTGGCTTGACGACGAGGAACTTCTTGAATCTCATCGATACTTGCATTCATCTCGGAATGCTGATTATCAGGTTCTTCTATAACGGTGGGGGTTCTTACTGGGACAGGAAATGGGATGCTCGCCCAAGCTGGAGAAGGCACCGCGACCTTTGGAGAGTTTTTAGCTGTTTCCGCGAGAAATTGATGGAAGTCGGCTGACTGAAATTGCATGCGCTCCCTGAAAGCCGCGTGTTCTTTTTCAGTTCTTGCCCGGTTGAATTTCCAACGAGCAATTGCGACCTCATTTTCCGCCGAAAGAGAAGATCTTTCAGCGGTTGTTACACTTCAATATATCAGTACTTTCGTGTTTTTAAGTTGATCAAGAAGAGAAAGGTGGAGTTTCTTACCTTGAGTGCGAGGGCGCAAAATTTCGGGATATATTAAAGCTATTGCCAATAGTATCACTTCATGAGTGTTAGCATCTCTTTGAGCATTTAAACTGGGAGTCATGGGGAGATATTCTTACATGGAATCCGACATGGCTCGTATTAGTTCCGAGCAAACGATCGAGGAAAATATAATAAGGTATTTTAGAGATTCTTAAACTCAATACAAACGTAGGAGCAGAGTTTCGAAAGAAAAATTGTTGGAAATAAGTTCGAACTTTGAAGTATTTTCGCAAAGATGTGGTTGTTGGGAGAGTTCGAAAATTGTACAGGCGATGTCAAAGATGCCAAAGAGTGGAAGATTTGAATTATGAGATTATACGTGAATGAAAGATCTAGACGCTTTCCTTCAAGACAGATGAGAAAGAATCTCAGGTGTCCAACAAGAAAAGTAGTTCTAACTCGAAATAATGGGATTGAAGAAATTGTTTTTGTTGTGGGAAAGCAGATGAGGACGCGACGGACCGAAAGTGAAAGATATATTCACCACTCGAGACTGTAGTTACAGATTTCACCGCCTAGCAAAACTCACAATTGAATACTCGAGACTTCTCATACTATTATTACTGGCAGAATTGCAGGCTGGACTGACTTCTTACTTCGAGTTAGCCTTGCGAACTATTCAAGATGGAGCTATACTATTTGGTTAGTATGATCTATAGCTTTCTCATATAGATCAATTTGAAGAGATTGTAGTATAGTAAATTCACATAAATTAGATCTATTACTTCATTAAAGCTTTCACCCAAGTTACACAAAATTGTAGAACAAAGTAGTTTATTGAAAAGAGCCCTTCGTTCACATCTTCATTATAGCTGTAAATACAAAATGCAAACACCAGAAGCTGACAATCTGACAAGCTGACAACCAAACAAACTGTCCCAATCATTCTTGAACATTGAACCTCCCCTAGCACAGAGGCCCCAGGAAATAGTAAAGCCTCATTCATCTGGTGTCAGTCCCGAAGTCTCCGAAAGATTCATTTGAATGATATCATCAAGTTGCTCTCTCTCTTCTCATCATTATTCTTCTTGTGCTCCATCTCCAGATTAGCATCAGCAGAGTCCTTCTTGCAAACCGCTTTGACATTGGTAACTAGACTGTCCTTCTCTAGGATTTCCTTCTTCAAACTCCCTGATAGAATTTCGGATATGTCCTTGGTGTACAGCTGCGCCTCATTGTTCAACAAATCTTCATATCTGATCAACCTGCCTTGCATTTTCTCAATCTCTGCGCATAAACGCCTATGGACTATATTAGATGCAGCCGAGAAAACCAGAAATATTACAACAAACGAAAAGACAAATCCACTGAGATCATACTCCAAGTATGTTTCGTGGCATCGAAAACTATCGGGAACCGAATCGCACATATGTCTTCCTTGTTGGAGAACTGAATTGTTGTTCAATGGAGCAACACCCTTGAAATCGTACACCAAAAACTTGTACCCAGACACGTAGCTTTCAGTTCGATTAGAGTAGTAATTGAGGCCAAGGATAATAGCGAGAGGAATCAAGGTAAGAATGGCGATAGCACAAAGAAATTCGAAGTAGCATTTGGCGAGAAACTTGTTGTACCAGTTCGTGGCATTTCCACGTTCGAAAGATGTTCCATGTTGGGTAATATTTTGCTTTATAATTTCTTGACGTCCCATAGATTTTTCGATATCCATTGCTTTATCAATAACATAGGAATAAGAATCGGACTTGGAGCGCATTGTGTGTTTAGAGAGACCTGTCATTTTTGTAGATGGCAAGCGTTGGGTGGATGCTATAGTTGTATGGTTAGTTTAATAGCTTCTCGAGATGGTAGCTTAAGCTTTCTCTTCAAATATGATAAGGTGGAACAGAAAAATCAAACCCAAACTTCCAATGTTCTGAAAGATGTAAATCTTGAACAAGTTACAACATCATGTCATTTGAAAAGGATTAAAGATTTAGGTGAGTTCAAGAATAAAGAGCCTTTTCGTTTTGGAATACTGCCTGGATTACTAGACAGTCATTCTGGAGACCAAATAAATACATACCTTTGTTGAAATGTGACTTACAGTGGATGAGGTTGTATGGAAGTCTGGGCTTCTCGAGGCTGAAAGGGATTGTGAAGCAAAAGGGTATCCGATGTCAAAGACAGTGAGTATTCGTTGATGGTACCACGGGTTGATAATGTTAGTCCAACGAACAAACAATACGAAATGAGTGAAAGGGTGTTTGAAGTGCAAAGAAAAAGGTATTTAAAGAAGTCAATTTGATATTGGAGGTTGACTTAGGATTTTGTCGCCTGTGGTAGCGCGCCAGGACGCTAAGCCTATAATGTGCGAACTTCTATTATTTTTACTCCTAAAATTGACGGTGAATTATGGAATTTCTTCAAGAGTACTGATTCCTCAATCTGACAGAAACACACGGGATCTCATTATTTGAAAATATGGGAGTTAAGATATGTTTACGTCTTTCGAAAATTGCCACAAAGACTACCTTGATGTTTCTCGCAGGTTGCAGCCCCGAAGGAAGCCACCGATACACTCGATAGTCATGTAGGTTGTATGAATGATATTTGAGTTCTGTTATCTCCTATGCCAAGCCACCGTGGAAAATGGTAGGAGCTCCTAGCCTGATAAGTAGTAAGTGCAGTAGTTTCCTTTCCATCTACATGTTCTCCATAATCTTTTATCTAATTTCAAAATCATACTTCGTTTCCGAAGAATCACAGCTCCGCGCTTCCTTTAGCTAACTTGAACTTGAAGTCCTTTAGCCCGCCAATCCCAACATCGACTTTGAATAGTGCTCCCGCATGCTCATCGCCCCCATCACTTGCGCTCGTAACCCACAACTCAGTACCCACAAATACGGGACAAGTCACACACTTCGTTGGATACTTGATTTCGCCAACGACTTTGCCTTGAGGATTGATCTTCAGTACACGCCCTTCCCCAAACACACATTGCCAGATATTCCCTTCCGAGTCGAACTTGAACCCATCGGGCTCTCCATCTCCGTCGTGTTTCCAAAATACCCGCTTGTTGGTAACATCACCAGTCGAATCATCGTAGTCGTACGCCCAGATAGTTTGCTCGGTTGTATGGGTAAAGTACAGAGTTTTTTGGTCTGCAGACCAGCCAATTCCATTAGGAATTGTCAGACCTTCACGAACAGTATGGCGTGTGAGATCATTGTCGAAGCGGAACATTGTACCTGAAGGCGTCGAGTTTAGCGGCAAGAACGCATAGGGTGAGGGCACAGTCATCATGATTAGGAGGGGGCGGCGGGGATAAGGGATAGATCACATGCCGCAGACTACAAACTGTGACCAAGAGATTTCACACATCCACTTGGTGCTTGTTGGGAATCCATAGCTCAGGCTTTATTGTCAGTATCTACTCAGGAACCAAAAATCACCCACCTTCACTTTGTGGCTCCCCCACCCAAAAGTCATTCATAGTTCCGATCCAAAACCTCCCTTTTGGGTCTACGGCCCCATCATTACTTCTCAGTCTCTCATCTTTTTCCTCACTGTCATAAAATCTTTTCAATAGCTTCATCTTTCCATCGCCTCTCCTCAGTACGTAGATCCCGCTTTTACCACCCACCAATATCCTATCGGTGCAATCTATACCCTCAATATCAGCTGTTACGCCGACAGGAATATCTAGCTGCATGGTCGTAAGAGACGAAGGACCAACATTAAGATCGATTGTATGGAGACGCTTCTTCTTGATGTCCACAAAGCGGAGCGTGTTGGTGGAAGGCTCATAGAAGGGAGCTTCACCGAGCCCACAGTGTGGGTTGATGTATGGTTCCGTGACTGTCCATGTTTGTAAGGAAGACATTACTAGATGATTTCGAGAATTGAGAATTGAGTTTGATTGCTGCTTGAATGTGGAAGTTTGATCTACAGATACGGAGGTACTTGACTACTGCAGCTGTTACTGGCTGTATATATGGCAAGGCGATTATCTGGTGGGGAAGGAAGTGATGTCACATCGGAAAATCTTTTCAGCGAGAATCGAGACTTCGAGATGTTGCTTCCTGACAATGAATTTTTATCAGAGCGGAACTCTTAGAAAGAGAAATGGGACTAAGTACTTCTACAATTTTATATAATATCGCTTTCATATAAGTTGTGCCGTAATTCCTTATTGCTTTTGCCAAAATCCGGTATTCCGGGCCTCTTGCCGTCGTTGCAAAGGGGTAAATTTTGGCAAATTCTACATATACTTGTAATTCCATTTGAACTGCGGGAACAATATTATGCTATTGGGATCAAGAGGTAGTACAAAATACTGCCTCCTTAAAAAGGCTGTTCATCTATCGAATCTTACTCCTGCTTACTCCCATTGCTTATCCCTCTTGTCTTTTACACTCAAGATTTCCATTGTCCGGATTCAGTCAGACGATCAGAGGTATTCTACTCTTGAAACTCATTAGAACAATCAAAAGACTTAGGTATTGAAATCACTTCGAACGTTGAATTATTTCGGGTATCGAAAGTCCACAGCCAGTCTTCTGGGATGGACCATTTGACACTCTAGTCGCAGTCCTCACATGAAGGATTGGGAAGGATTGTATTGTATACTCCCTGCGCTTTATCTCTATGTAGTTTCACTACATGTGACCTGTGAAACAGAACGAACACGTCGCATTGGAAGAAGAGCTTTGGTGCAGCTTCTCTGACGTGTCGCTCTCGCTGTCCTCCAATTCTTGATCGTCCACTTTCTCCATTATTATCGTGCATAAAACCGAGTTTCTCGGTCTCTACCGATGACCCCGCTTTGTAGGATTGACGAGAGCATGGTGTAGATAGCCCACCGTTGCCGTAGATGTTAATTGAGGATCAAAGTTTAAACACATTATCGTGAATTAATCCCCCGTCATAATCTACCGAGACGGTATTTTCCCATTCTGTGCAATGAATTCACATCGCGTTTATATTTGTCGGAACCGCAGAGCCGGAACCGAAACTTTGGAATCATTCGTAGAAGCTTGATGTATATATATATATGCCCTATAGCTGCATATTATTCTTCGAGTGCTCGGAGATGGAAGTCTTCGCGGCAATTGCAGGTTAATAATATCTCGAAATGCTATACCGACAATCTGTTTCAACGGCTATCAGGCATTATGTTTTGCGGTGAGCCACAAGACTAAAAAATCACTGGAACTTATTGGGTTTCCGAGGAGAGCTCTCCGAGTCTTAGTAGCGCAAATGCAGAACTATTGACCTAGTGATGCGTGTCTGAGCTTGCCAACAAAGAGATGCATGTAATCACCTCCTTCAAGACGTGGAAAAACTCAATTGCCACTCTTCTGCTTCTACTTCTGTGCATCATGTTGCAATGCTTATTCGAGTTTAGGATGAACATACATTGGTGGTGGTTTAGACGACGCGTAAAGAACAAGTAACAATGCTGGCCATTTATGATGATGTTGCTATTGGCGCCAGCGAAGAATCTTCACCGCTGGGGCTAGAACCCCTTTTTGTCTCTTCGCCTTTCACCGACAGTCGCGGATCTATACCGTAAACCCAATTGGGATAATTGCGTGGCAAACGTGGATATGATTCGGTATGGGGATAAAGCTGCAAGTGAACGCACGCATAAATATCGTCGACTTGGCGCTATCTCGTCACATTGCGCAAGAAGAGAGTCAATCCCGAGCCCCATAAGACTTATTTACGACTTGCAGATTCGGATAGGACCCGTTAGGACCAAACAGCAGGAAAGACAAGCAGGCAGACCGCTGTTCGCCATGCGTTTTTTCGCAGGCTCAGGATAGTGTGGAGAATCAAACTGTTGCTGAGGCAATTGACTAATCTCCTTCAATAGCAAATGCCGGGGCACTTTCACGTGACCGTTATTGTTTCCAGACAAGATGCAGATGGCGACGCACGGATAAGCTTAATATAAGCAAGCAGATACTTTTTTGCTTGGGTTGTGTTCTTCCTTCATTCTGGAATCAAGTTGTTAATGTTGTGTCACTCCCAAAAGGGGATCGCGTACACATCAAACTGGTCATAACGTGCATGGTGAAAAACATGAATATCATTTTTCTTCCAATACCAATATTGGTGAATTGACCACTAACTTCTATGGAATTCAGAATCAATGAACATTCCAAGATTTATTTCCACGCGAAGATATTGAGAAGGGTTGGGATTTGCATCCTCCTCTGGATAGGTTGCCAATAGTCCCCGTTGAGATGTAACAAATAGCCGTAAAGCGGCCTGATAACTTCGGAAGCTCAGATCATTATTATCACATCGACCAAGTCCCAGCCTCTTCATTTTTGGATTTCGTATTACCGGATCGAACGTGGTGGCTGGGATGTTTGGGAGTCGAAGTAATCGCGCTTGACATGGTCCCGGGCATTAAATTCATGACATTGGCTCCGAAAAGCACATGACTGTCATTTGCTGCGACTGTCTCCCGCTGCGTGTCCGTTAGGGAGTACATATGCGGTATCTGCACGTGCGGGAATTTATAACGTGCATCTTCAAGGGACCCAAGCATTGAAGGGCCAATCATTCTAGCTCGCCTCGAAATTCGCATCCATATTCGGTATTGGACTCCCAGTATATGACTTATCTCTTTTTGTCAATCAATTGGGTTGGCAGAAATCGGTGATTGATTGCTCTGATCCATAGTGTCGACGGCTCACCTTGTATATTCATAATTACTTTCCTAGATTATCTCATTAGGTCTGATGGTTGCGTGGTTGCGTGTTGTTTAGTTCAATCACAGTCGTATCATATGGTCTGCATAATTGTGATGTGAACAAGCTCGCATCGCTTGCTCGCATAAACCGTTGTCCAATACTGTCCCCCTCACTTATCAAGATGCATCGGGGCCAAGGGCCGAATTGATTAATGGCATGACGTTTTTTCGGTTCTGTCAACCTACTTTTCCAAAATTGATGGTAAGCAAAATGGAGATTGTTGAGCCGTATTAGTTTTTGAAAACGGAAATCCCGATGACCTTGAAACTTTGATAGATACTGTAGGGAAAAGTAAAATAATTTGTACATGTGGATCGTCGGAAGTTCTGGAAAACCGATAATGAAGTATCAGACAGCGCCAAGCTTATTCACACACAACTCACTGGGGTTGACAACATCAATCAAAATTGGAGACTGAGCAAACAGAATCATTTAATTAAAATCCCTAGACGATGTAGGCCTACCCATAGGATTCGGGGGTGCTACCGAGAATCAATGGAATTTTTGTAGAAAATGGATTATACCCCTTCATCAATCCTCGTCTATTTGTTTGCTGAGGTAAAGGATTGGTGACCCGTTCAAAGATTATCGAGATTATCAAGGTTAAGATGTTCTTACTATATTGTTCACAGTGGACCAATTCTAGGTACGGGGATCTAAAATAAAGTCTATGGTATAGGTAATAACGCTAAGATGAGGTTCCAATAGTTCGAACCTAGATTAATAGTGGGTATGCGACCTTCCCAAGTTTGGCTTCATCAATTTCTCGTCGACTCTCGAGTTTCAGAAAAGTTTCCCCAAGTTCAAGCCCGTCGGTGAGGTATCCAGCAAAGATGTCAATCTTGTCGATAAGTCCAAATCTCGCGAAACCTCGGGAACCTCTACCAACTAAGAAATCGATGAAAAGAGTATCTCTCGAGCTTGGATTAAGTATTTGGTAATTTTGGACTTTCAGGAAAGCTTGGTAACGAGCTCAGGGTCCGCGCAAAGAGACGGAGAGACATAACCAATCGTGGAAGACGCCGAAGGACGAAGATGGCGTATCCATAATCACCGAAGCTATGAGACAGAACGGTCGGCCTTGTTGCTGAAGAGGTTAGCTTATCATACACAAGTCCCATTTCATCACATCCATTGTATTTCATCAACAATTTTGAGGTTAAAGACTTTTCTTGCCCCGGCAAGCATTTAACACAAGCATAATAAGATGAGGCCGGCACGACGACTTGCAAATTGTACTATTGTGCCATCGAGTTTGAGTTTGGATCTACGGGCATCATATGACAATAGATGTGATCTCTGTGGATCAGGTACATATGCTTTTTGGGCAGCTATGCGCGCTGTGTAATTGTTATGCGGACCATCTTTTCGAGGTAGTATCGTCAGCGGCACGGCGCGTGGCGCATGACTTTCCTTTTTCTGTAGAGCCGGATGAAAGGGACCAACCTTTCTGGTGCAAAGAAATCAATCAAATATGCGCTGTCTTGTTCCGTGATTTACTTTCTTGTCCGCGTTACGTGATCTGATCGGGAAAGGCGATTGATATCGACGAATGTTTTGGGTAAAAATACCTGATATCGAATTGTTGGGAACGGTTGTCGAATCTGATGGCTACACTTCCATGCGATGGCGCTCTCAAGGATCCCCCAAATATACATACATCAGTGCGTAGGAGACTGGAACTTATGCAGCTCATCTTGCTGCCGCTCACCGGTGCTCTGGTCCAAACTAAGTGTGGAAACATAGTGTGGCCAAGCCAGCGTACGACCACCGGATCAAATGTGTCGACATGGGTTAAGATTGCAGCAAGATCAAAGATCACCGAGGTCCGCCATTTCAAGGTTCTAGTTCAATCAACTTCTCTTCTAGAAAAAGCAGAGAGAGAGGTAAAATGTTTAAAATGTAGCAATATTTCCGATTTGACATCATTATGTGCATGCTGTACCTGGCGTACGAGGTGGTTACAACTAATGGGCGATCATAGAACTTTCCGAAGGATGGTACATAGGTACTACATACAACTGATTCAGACCATTCAATCATCTCACACAACTATCAGTTATCTAAAATTCAACAAGAGGGGTTCAGGAAAATCATTCTCACCTGGAACACAGGGTAGGAAATTAGACTATTATAGAAAGAAGTTTCACTTGGATGATTTCCATGGTTGTCATAATTTTCTTTCTAACTCAATAGAACCTGTGAAGTTTGAATGTCAAGAATCCCAATGTGATGTGGTGGTTCATGTGGGAGATCTCAAGGCCCAAGAGAAGCTATTTCTTAAGCTACGAAATTCTCTCTAATATTATTAGCCATGTTCGCTATGCTATGCAGTTTCCTTCCCTGCTGTCAGAATTCTCGGGTCCTTCTACTCGGTGGCGTGTAGCGATGAAAACAGAGAAAACAATATTGCGAATCAATCCGCCAATAGGCACCTGTCTTACATGCTAATATCAAAGCTTTCTCCCTCCAAAATTATGAAAAAGTGTAGAAATCGATCAAATAGGAGAATTGGGAGCGAGAAATGGCCGTTTTCGTCTACTTCCTTTTTCTTTACATTTTCACTTGCAGGATTTCCTATGCATGTGTATCGTTTCCACATAGACTTAGGCTGTGGTCACTTGGTCACCACGTTGAAAAGTTACCAACCACACTGATTTTGACCTGCAGACTGCGGATGTACTAATGCAAAGCGATATGATATCCATCAATCAAAGTTTCTTATTTCTACAGGGCGTAACATGGCAACGACTTCTCTCCATCAGCTTTAGCCTATACTAGTATAAGTAGAAAAGTAACTAACTTGACTAGCAAGGAGCTCGATCAACTACAGCTTACAGGGAACTTCCATTTCGCAGACCGTAGCTTCAGCACCATTTTTTGACCGTGCTAATGCAGGATAGCGTCACCTCCCACCCCCAATTTACTACTTTCCATTCCTTCAGCGCACTGATTGTTGAAGAAAGAAGTGCTTATCTTTTTCTAGTAAGATCCTCCATGGTTCTATAATCTATAACCTTCACCGAAAGGGAGACTGATTTAGTTCGGCACAGCGATTTCAGTACGTCAAACAACAATTCGTGTGAATGGGTCGTTGAGTATGGTGCTTGAATAGCGGGGAGATTATGCATCTACCAAGATGTCTGTAGCGTCAGATGCATTATCGTTCTATGCGCCCAAGTATCTACATCTTTATGGCACAAATTGATGTGTGAAGAACATCTACCCACCTAGGTAAGGTACAGCAGCTAAAGTTTTCTCAACAAGCGCCCTTTGCTCAAAGGAGGATGTTAATGTAGTCTATCCATATAATATAACGTGATACACAAGGATCTTCTGCGCGTGGCCTCCCGCTTTCCGAATGCTGGAACCAAGCACGGTATGGCTCCAGAAAATAGTTTCCTGGGACATTGTGAACCTCTAGGCTTGTTAAGAATCATCTCAAAAGGATACGTTTAAGCCCTGGTACCTTGATAATGCTACAATGCCTGCAGCCAACAAGCAACCCTAGCTAATGCCTCGAGAAAAAAAAAGACCCGCCTCACTACGACCCTGGAAACAATTCCATGAACTCTTGTGGGTGCTGGTGCGGTGAAGGGTAGGGTCAGTGTCTGTGAGCAATGAGCGTGGGACTGGGACGGTTCGAAGAACCACAAAGCTTGGGGTCTTCCTCCTCATGCAGAGAGCTGTGCAGAGCTAAAAGCGTCATCCACCACATTCTTCCATCTGTAGTCATTCATCACCGATTTCTATATTTTTTGGTATTCCTTTACTACCAGACTGCCGCATCAGCCTGTAGAAATTCGACAGAACTAGATTCTGACATCCCATCGGTGCTCACCAACCACTTATAAAGCTCTTTGCTCGTTAAGAACTGTGAGTGGTGCGCCAACCTTCAAAATCTCCACCTATCTGTATGTTTATTTCGTTATCCCTTCGTCTTGTTCCACACTACTGGTTATGGCATCCACTCTGTTCATCTCTAATGCTCAGTGAGTTTGCCTCACAGTATTACAAGTCATTCCTTCCTTTGTTGGTTCGAGGCAAGGCCCGCCTTCCATATTTACATATTCACGGTCACATCTTGTGCTCCCGAAAGAATCCCTGTCGAACCACTTCACCTCACAGGAATCAATACAAATACATCTCAAATAATCATTCATGCGCACAATTATTGCTTTTTCATTTGACGATTGAATCCAAACCCTTCGAGTGACGAAGCTGAGAATAGCAGAAAAAGAGCTGACCCCTCACCGCTCGCTGGAAAGCCTCATTGGCAAGCCAGCGCCATAGATATTCGATCTGGCTGTTCAAGGTCCTCTAAGTCGCCCATTGCGCGAAAGTCCTTTCGTTGCTTTTGCCGATAACGCGGAAGCGTCTTCATTGCTAAATCGTTTTCCCGGAACACAATCTTCTGAACTACTTGAACAACGACTTTCGGATTTTGTTTCTAAGCTTCACAGCTACCAGCAGAGTTGGGAGGGAGAGGGAAAACGTCAATGTCCCGGTCCTCGAGACCAAGAAGGGTTAGGGGATCAGGACTCGATGTCGCAGAGGCCTTCTGCGTCTCGTCCTGCATCTCGCTCACCACCAGAAAGTCAAAAGATTACTCTCCCACCTGTGCAGATGCGAGATGATCCTCGACATGGAGGGCGACAAGCAGACAGACAATTAGATCAGGGCAACCGAGGATTATCACAACCTCATCATACACTACCTTCCCCTTCATCACGGACTCCCCAGCCTGTATCAACTGGAGAGGATTGGAAGTCTTCTGGACCATCGCGCGATCTTGGTGTACATTCAATTTTGAACCCTACAGAACCTGAAAGCGCATCAAATTCCAGTCGCCGATTAAGTGGTGGCACTACAGATTCGCCACTCTCTACAACAGCCGGACCGACTTCACATTTTGCTGCAAGTCCTTTGGTGGCAACTACTCATCCTTACTCCAATCGTCCTCCCATCAGCACTTCGCCTTCCTTAGACAGTTTTAACCCAAATTTCCCAAGGGCCCAGGCCGCAGAATGCTAACACCCAGATCACCTCGGCCTGTCAGTATAGGCAGAGCGCCAGCTCACGGGACTATCAATGCGCAAGAGTCACCCTTTTTGCCACCGAGAAGGCCGGAACAAGGGCAAACACCAGTATCAGAAAACCCTCCTTTAGCAACACCATCCGGGCAATCTCAGGCCCAACATTATGGGTTTCCCTCTACAGGCACAACGCCAATAGAACGACGAGCAGATAATTCTCAGATGCAAGTCCCAGGACGTGTCCAACATAGCGCTAGTCCTAGCATCTCAGCCTCTTCACAGACGCCGAGCCAGACTTCCCCCGCGTCCGGTTATCCTTATCATCAAAGTGGGCAGAATCCTCAGACAAGTGGGTCTTATTTTCCAGGTTCCAGTTTTGGTTCTTCAGTGCAACAAGGGAGTGGATTACAATTACAAGCACCGCCTGCGGCATCAGAAGGTCCGTACAATGCTTCTCAGATTGGTTCCTCACTCCACTCCACTCCAAGCTCGAGGCAGGCTTCTGCCTCCGAGCCCTACGGTGTCCTGACAATAACCACGGCTCACGGCGTGGCTTATCATGTACCCGTGGACACGCACCAAGCGTCGCGTTTAGCTGACGAGAAGCGTGCGCGCAACGCAGGAGCATCGGCGCGATTCCGACAACGTAGAAAGGAAAAGGAGAAGGAGGCTTCATCCAACATCGAAAAACTCCAATCGCAGACTAGAGACCTTGAACGAAGAGTGAGAGAAGCAGAAGGAGAGAGAGACTTTTACCGGGGAGAACGGGATCGATTCAGGGATATGTTACTTCGAAATCCCGGGACTAGAGATATGGCACTTCACGGGCCACCGAGTCCTCGTTCCATAAGGCCAATGTCTTATCCTGGTCCTCCACCACCAAGTGCGCAATCCATGAGTTATCAAGGACCTGATAACGGCGAAAGGCCACCAAGACGTCGTAGGACTGATGCCCAAGGAGAATTTATGAGCGTACCATACTCTCATTCTCCGGCGTCAACTCTACCACCCGTTCAAAGTGGATTTCAACCCGCTCATGGACAAGGGTTGCCTAGTCTGCCCCCTTTACGCATCGATAATCTTTCAACTGGTACAGCCACAGGAGCATCGACTCCATCGCTATCTGCCGGCCCTCCTTCATTTGATTCTTATTCGCGAGGGCCATACGATCGAGCCTGGCCCAAACAGGAAAACGGCGGACGACGATAAATTTTATACTTAATTTTACTATAATATACTTGATGGAAACAACAGCACTTCAAACCTTTTGCTAAAAAGTCTTCCAAATTTCACGAATCCGCTTTCCGAATTTAATCAAACATTCTCGAATATACAAATCGATCTCTTCTATCTACAATACTTACTTGATTGTCACCTGTATATTTACGCTATTTCAAACGACACTCTACTATACATATCAATCGCAAGATTTCTGCAAAAAGAACTGCATACCCTCGGGCGACCGAACCTTCTCATTTTGATGTTTGCATCTCTTTATGTTAATTATACCCCCTGGCGGCTAATTATGTTCCTTACCTTCGTTTTTTTCTTTTGTAAATGCGAGACATTTCTTTTCTGACGGGAGTGTGGACAACTAGTGGGAATTGGTCAAGCATCATTTATTTTGTGATACCATTTTCAGTTGGGAATTGGTAGGAGGGGTGTTAATTTCGGAAGTGTTATTTTATTTGTTTGGGCAGTAGGGTGTGGGTATCTCCAGAGACAAGTAGGGAAAACGTCTGGTGGGAGGATTACGAAGCATATCACTTAATATCACGCTGAAGCGAGGAAGGAGGCAAAATTGGGGTTCGAGACATGTAAGAAAGGGGCTATGGAAGGAAGAAGGTTGTGTTTGCAAGCCATATTGCTTTTTCGGGGCTGGGAAGGTTGATTTATCATATACAAAAATATCAGATTGTACAACGATATAGTGTATAACCTCAAGTTTAGCACACCAGGGGGAGTTAGGGGAGCCTTTATTTGACCCTGGAGCCACCACGTTCTACATATAATTCAGTACATATAGGCAGATAATATCATTACTGCCAAAATTAATCACATATTTGATTCCCATCTTTGGCCTCTTCCCATGCTGTGTGATTGCATTAAGTTGGCGGGAGGCTTAGTTTGCATATGAATAGGAGAAACCGAGATGTATACGTCTCACTTCCAAGCAGTTCTTTTCCGAAGCACCGGAAAATTGCAGTAACGAATTTCTTACATATCACAATTATCATCGTCTCGAGACTCGATATCTGATAAACGATTGAAATTGAATTGAGATGTCTAGAATAGATAAGAATTGCTATTACTATTGAGATGAGGGAGACTATCGTCGTTAATGGTGCGGGGGAGCTACAGCTTCGTGAAGCTTATGCATTATAGGAAGGGCCAGCCGAAAAACTCCACTAGAATTTGATTATCATTGGTCTTATCTTTTCATCCCACCGAGCACCATACACCAAGCTGTAACCTTGACAAACCTGCTAACCAACAATAATCAGAAGCAAAAAAGCCCCGCACTTGCACCACCTATGGTAACTTCAATAAAAGAGCTTCGTATATCTTCAAATCATTGATCTTCCCCCTTCAGATGTTCAAAGTCATTCTTCCTCTGCAATCATATCTGCGTAATACAGCATTTCGAAGATTCCCCTCGCATTTATCTAGTGCAGCTCCTCGAGTGAAGACTGAATTCTCTTCCAAGCCCTCTATCCTGCCATTACGACCTTATCACAGATCTTTCAGCAGTACAATTGCCAAGATGTCTGATCTTACTGTTGAGCTGACTGCTCCAAATGGCAAGAAATACGTTCAGCCAACTGGTCTATTCATTAACAATGAATGGGTGAAGAGTAGCACAGGTCAAAAGATTACATCTATTAATCCCTCGTATGTCAAATTTCAGCTCGGCATAACACGACTCCGCTAACTTCATGGTTAGAGATGAATCAGAAATTGCATCCGTATATGCTGCATCAGCAGAAGATGTCGACACCGCAGTCAAAGCAGCTCGAGCAGCTATGCGTAACCCTGAATGGCGCGATATGTCCCCTACTGATCGCGGTTCCCTCATGATTAAGCTATCCAGTATCATTGCCGAACATACGGAGCTACTTGCAACTATCGAAACTTGGGACAATGGAAAGATCTATAATGACGCCGTTGCTGATGTTAACGAGGTGGAAGCTGTTTTCAAATATTATGGTGGATATGCCGATAAAATACATGGACAAGTGATAGACACTGGTGTTGCAAAATTTGCATATACAATTAAGGAACCAATAGGAGTATGTGGCCAAATTATCCCATGGAACTATCCATTGGGTATGGCTGCATGGAAATTAGGTCCCGCTTTGGCATGTGGTAATGCTGTTGTGATGAAGGCTGCGGAACAAACTCCGTTGAGTATTCTTGTTCTCGCAAACTTAATTAAGGAAGCAGGCTTCCCACCAGGCGTGGTAAATATTTTGAACGGGTATGGCAGAGAAGCGGGAGCTGCAATTGCAACACATCAAGACATCGATAAAGTGGCTTTCACCGGTAGCACTAGCACCGGAAAAGAAATTATGAAGATGGCTGCAGGTACCATGAAGAATATCACTTTAGAGACGGGAGGAAAATCTCCTTTGATGGTTTTCGATGATGCAGATCTTGACCAGGCTGTCAAGTGGGCGCATTTTGGTACGTTTTTATTCCGAAAGCCACATGTCGTGTCATGTTCTTTTCTCCTGTAGCACGATCCTTCGAATCTACCATTTGCTAATCCGTCCTAGGTATTATGTCTAACCAAGGTCAAATTTGCACCGCCACATCTAGAATTCTCGTGCAGGATTCCATCTATGATAAGTTCATTGACGCCTTCAAAAAGCAAGTCAAAGAAGTTTCGGTCGTTGGTGATCCATTCGCCGAAAACACATTCCAAGGTCCACAAGTCACTAAAGCTCAGTACGACCGTGTACTAGGTTACGTTCAAATAGGTAAAGATGAAGGCGCCACACTACTCTCTGGAGGTGAAGCTTTCACAAACGCTCATCCTTCAGGCAAGGGATTCTTCATTACCCCACTGTCTTCACGGATGTCAAGCCAAGCATGAGGATTTACAGAGAAGAGGTTTTCGGACCTTTCTGTGCCATTGCTAGCTTCAAGACGGAGGAAGAAGCAGTGGAAATGGCCAATGACACGACATATGGTCTTGGCTCGGCAATCTTTACAACCAATCTAGACAGAGCTCATAAGCTTGCCAGGAGAATCGAAGCGGGTATGGTTTGGATCAACAGTAGTCAGGATTCTGACTATAGGATTCCTTTTGGGGGTGTAAAACAGGTAGGTCAATCTTCCTGCCATTGTCAAAACGCGTGTATCACTTGCTAACGTCTAAAAAAAGAGCGGTGTTGGCAGAGAATTAGGGGAGGCAGGGCTCATAGGTCGGTATCCGTCTGTTTCCGATCAATTTTGTCATCTTTTGACGTCGTTCCGATTTGATTTCGATTTTTTACTGACTTTTTTCACTCATTTTAGCCTATTCACAAGTCAAAGCCGTTCATATCAACTTGGGTACAAGACTATAGGCTCTATGCAAGCACATAGGCTATTGGGGTGTTATGTTATGGCAACTGGGGTTATAGCCAACGTCGTCGTCGTCGTTGTGTATATATATGATGAAAAGATACCAATATTTAAAGTTCCATTTTCCACGACACAAAGCTTTCTACCACAATCTGCAATAGCTTATCATATCTCTATAAATTTAAACCATCAATGTCTTATTTGTTGTCTTCAAGTAATTTCTATCTCATTTACATGTTCTTATATACGTAAATCTCTATAATCCACTGATGTTCGTCGTACGTTGATTTTGCGTGCCCAAAATCCCTCACTTCCATCTCTACAAAAGATTTGAATCAACACCGTTAACTCTAACGTTGAAATAATAAGATTTAAAAACTTTGCTAGCTAAGCCACCTGCTTTGCAGCACGCTTCATGTATCTTGCATGCTTCGAACATACATACTCCCGATCCTTCAACACACCCCGCTTTGTGAACTCCCTAAAAGCTTCCATTTCGGCGTTCTTACGGACACCCTCTTGCTCTTTTCTGATGTGAAATTCGTTCCAGGGTTCGCGGAAGACTCCTGGCAGAGTTGCAGCAGCCATCTCCAACATTTCCTCAAGGTCTTTCGGTGAGACGAATATCATCTCAAGTTTGTAGTAATGATACTCTTCGTGATTCGGTTTTGATGCGTCGAAGTTGTAGTCCTCCCAATGTGATTCGTCACGAGGATTGTGGCAAGCAACCATTTCACCTTCCTCAGTAGCCTCTAAGAGTTTGACATATCCCAGCCGCTGAATGATACATTCGTCACAGCTTTTGAATACTCAACTGCTCAATGACGCCTTCGATATGGGCTCCCAAGCCGCCTCCTTCTTCCCAGCCCAGTTTTTTCATGCAACCGATGGCCCATTTTGGTACTATTGGTGTCGTTCTGAACCAAAACATACGACATCTTTCTGGTCTTGTTAACGGCATTTCTGTCTTACTTTCCGACCAACCCCAATCTTGAACGCCAACTTGTCGGTTGAAATAAAATCCATACGCAGGATCCTTCTCCAAGATGTGATGTTCATTGCCAAACACAGATTTGTCTTCTTCATTCCACACAGGAGGCTTGAAGGTGGAGATATCCAACATGATGCCCGGATAATGGAAGCAGTTTTGTGGCATCTCCCAGACAATATGGTTGTCAACGTCCAAGATGTTGGCCACTGCTTGTACATCGATGTCAGGTGTGAATTCGTATAGAAGCCTCAAGAGATCATTCCAGTTATCTTCGGAATTTTTTACTGGCGTCAAGTTAGTAAGTTGGGCAAATGATTCGATTTCTATCAGAGCTCAATTGAAAAGTACCCATTTCGTAATAGCGACCTTCCCAGCCCCAATCAGGGGGTACTTCAGCTTCTAGGTGTCAAAGTTAGTGATAGTTTATAAGTTTGCAACAGGAAAATCTTGAGGCTTACTTCTGCTGGCATGAATGACGGCACCTGCTACAGTCCCAAGCTCTCTTAAATCTGCGTCTGTGGTGGCTGCATCAACGGTGGCCTCATCCCCAAGCACGACTCGCTTGAGAACATTGGTGACCTTTTCTTTCACAGCTCTTCGGCCAGAATCTGTTATTTCGACTCTCTTCCATACTTCGATGAGTTCTTCCATTTTTGCAAAGTGTTATAGGAGGGAGTGGCTCTATATGACGGCGAGGAGGATGAAAGAAAATGCTGGAAATTCAGGTGTGAGGTTGCAAGATGCAAAATATTTGAGGCTATCTGGTCGGTCTGAAAGACAAACTCAAGTGTACAGAGAAAGATTGCGACTCGAGATGGAGATCGGGTATGAAAGATGAGTATGCGTCTCCCAAAACTGAAAGTGAAGTTTCAGCTCTGGGTGGCCATTCACGTTTGCTGACTCGCAGTATGTCAACTGATCATTGTCCATCCTATGATTGAGAAGCCATATGCCAATTTCAAACTGCAAAGAGTGCCAATGTGTTTTCTTGTGTGGTAAATGCGGATTCTTTGGATCATCCACCTCCACTGGTTTTCTCTCAAAGAACTTAGACCTCGTAGATCGGTAAGTTGAGGCTGTTCTGGTTACTTTTTAATTTAATACCCAAATATCATGATTCAAAGGGTGAACCTTAAAAGTCGTACTTGCACTATGTTTTCTTCTGAATCAATAAGAGACCATCGCTAAAATCCATGAGTATTGACCCTTCCTTGGGCAAGACTCATAATGTGCTTGTAAATTGTTTCAAAATCTTTATCAGTAGATACCAACTTGGTATTTTTCTGTGCCATTTTGATTTCAAATGACTGGTTACTTGTATACCCTAATACAGGTAGAATAAAAGGCCGGCACATCAGAGGGTGGAATGTTTACCTAGCTTGATCGCTTAAGAATTCTTTATTTAAATATCCTCTCACCTTTCCGTTTCTTACTCAATTCTCTTTTAATCTTCTTCCTATTCCTCCACGACACTCTCAATCTTGAAATCTTCTTCTTGTCCCTCCACGCCACTGTCGATCTTTCAATGACAAAATCCATAAAACCAATTTCAACTCCCAAAGATGGTGTTTGTCCCACCACCGCTGATCATCCACGATCGCGACCTCCGCGCTACGGAAGACTAAGTCAATAATTTGAAAGATCGAGCCGGCCATCCAGCGTCGTGGAAAGATCCTCAGCTCTTGTCAACAGACGAAAAGGTCACAGTAAGTAAGCCACTATTCAGTATTGTACTATAGCGCTCACTGACATGCTTACTATCAGCCACACACTGAGTACATTCCAGTGTCAAACTTTTTACTCTCAATCAGCTACCCAAAGTTGCGAGCCAACAAAAGAGATTAAAAGTCAAGGAGGAGTACTCTTCCGATCTGCCTCCTCTGGCAATAAGCCTCGTCAAGTCGGTATACTTGCTGCAGAGAGCCATCGAGCCTAGGAAATTCACTCCTGTATAGCCTTCATATCTCGCCAGCTATTCTGGCACTAGCCACAACCGTGCTCACTACTATCGTGCCGTCAACACATACGTGTCAAATCTAGAGCGAGGGATTCTGGAACGAATGCGGAATGTAACTTCAGGCATGATTGCAGAAGCTATACACACAGACGAATTCAAAGAAATTTGTTGGTCCGATAACGCGAGGGAAGACCTAGAAGTATTCTTTGCGCGATCTGCTACCAACGACCAACTTTATTACGTGTATAGCAAGCTCTGGACGGCCGTCAACTTTAGATTTGTGATGGATAACAATGTTCGTCCTAATGCGCAGGAGAAGCAAGTCAGAAAGGACGTTCGTCAAATCATAAAGCGGGGCTTTGGATTTGCTGCGGCTGATTACTTCAACCTTTGTATTCAGAGAATCGTGATCCCAGTCTATTCTTCCGATGATGAAGGTTCGGATAATGAGACTTTGGACACCAACACATTGGTTGATGAAGAGAATGAGCGATGGGAGGACCACGACGCTGTTGATTATGATCATGACCAGGCAAGAAGTATGCACAAAGGTGGATGGCGCCAGTTGGTGGCCAACTGGAACATGGCTACATACTCACACGGCAACTTGAATGTCATTTCGAAAGATGCGGGGCGCCTTCCAGCCACGGAGAATTTCGACGCTGGCAGAACCGGGAAGAGCGGGCCAGGTGGTAGCAGTTCTGCTGGGGGGGGAGAGACGACATGATCTTTGATTGTATATAATGTGTGTTGTGTCAGAGAAACGGGGCGACGTTTTCGATCCGATAGGATGTCACTTAGCTATACGAATCTCAAGTCTGCAAGAACGTCACTCATATGTTGCCTTTTACAAATGACAATATGTTTTGCTAAAATGTGCGTGATTCAAGTGAGAAGGTCCATGTAGTTGTTCATGATCACGATTTTGAATTTTCTCCAAATCACATGGCGATCTTTAAGTTGGATAATTGTCCAGTGAACTCGTTCAGTGTTCAACAAAGTTGACATCGATAAATATCTGTATCTTTAGACCTTGATTGCATCGAAACATATCATCATCTAGTACAGCAAAAGAAACTCACTTTCTGCTCTCGTCACTTTTGCTTAATTTTCGTCCTGGATTTGGTGGGCTTTGAGGTTGAGACCTTGGAGCTCAGCGGTGTTCGAATGTCCTAAGCTTGTCAATCTGGTAACAGTCTATGGTAGTAATGTCTAGTTTATGATCTTTCTCTTGAAGCTGTTTCAAAATTTTCTCTTTATTCGCTCGAGTAGCGCATTTTATGTGCCTGATCCTGATTCCTTCCTGATTCTCTCAAATTGTGAGCATAGCCACTCACTCAGTAATTGGTCGACACAGTACCTTTATTCTTGCCCCCTTAAAGTACCCCAATGGGCTCGTTTTTCGTGATCAACACCTAGCATAAAGACACATCGAACCAGAAGGAAGACCTGTGAGTAACCGTCAGATATTTCTGCATAACTAAATGTTCATTCGGCTATAGGAGCTATAGGGGAAGTGTGGAGGTTGTTGCGGGGTTTGATCTCGAATTATTTGCAGGAGCCACTAGCCTGATCAACTGTCGAAGCGCCGACGTTTTTTCTTCCTTTCAAGGGACTTTGATGGTCTTCCCTCCGAAATTCTGCATCTCGTATATGCAAAGTACACCTCTGTCGAATGCCACCTTCGTGACTTACAGGAGGGAGCTCCTTGCTAATGCAGTGTGCCATCCTTCAGTATAGGAACCGGAGTCGTGGGTGTGAGTTCCAAAGCTTCGTACTCGTATAATCTAAACAACCTATGGGTGCCAAGCCTCTACATGGGCCATCTTTCTAGAGCGTTCTGATCACTTCTCCTTAGAGAGCGTAGTTGTTGTGCACAGAATCAAAAAAAAATGTCATCGAAGTGTTGTGTCTCCTAGCCTGGCGGGAAGACTGGATGGAAGAATGGTATGGCATTGTGAGGATTCGTCTTCCACTCATCAAGAACTTGTTTGTGTTCTATTGAACTCAGTCAAGTCCCTCAATTGGGGCGACACGCCAGTACCGTTTGTTCATGCAGGCAGCTGCAAATAGGGTTCGTAAAACCTGATAATATATCAAGCTGGAATGGACTGGGTCGTCGTCTTCGTCTTAATTGGTTAGCTCATGTGTATGGGAATCGACGAATTTGATACCTCTTGGGTGGTGTCAATAGAAGCAGTGATTATCTCACTCTAGCTCCAGATATCGAATTCATCATATGCTGGATTATGGATTGTGACCTAAAATCTCAGTGGTAATAGGTGTTATGCGACTTAGCTAGTGCGGCTGTCTCGTCTGAGCACTTCGAAGGGTGCGTTCCCCGGGCATAGTTTTCGATGGTTTCTACAATGTTCTTCTCAAGGTATAATGTCGTTTTCAAGTAATTGTTCTCCTAGCGGCGTCTCGGAGAATTGGACAGGATAAGAACGAAGTACCCATTTCATTTCTCTTGACGAAGAAAGGAGCAATGAGACTCGCACTACACACGGAAGTAAAAATATTTGAAGGAGAACAGCCACTCAGAACATGATATTATATTTGATATTTTGAGTTTGTTTTAAGTTTTGGTTGGTCCATAAATTCTGGCTGGCCTCACTTCCATCGATTGAGAACGATCGAAGTTCATGTGGCATACAAACTCTCATGTCGCTTCGATATTTTAATGTCTTGCCAGTGTCAAAGTAATTTGGCATTGATAAATATCTGCATCTCAGGATTATAGAGTCTGGGCAAGGTGCAGATCACCCTCTCTACAGGCTGGAAATGTCCACATGGGGTGTATCTCCTCCAGATGAAAGATTTGTAGGTATCTTGAGGGAAATGAACGCCTGCTTCAGACCCCTTCATATCTTGATTTCCGGAAGCTATGGGGCCTCTGAAACCAACATATCCGCAAACCGAGGCTTCGGTACCTTGGTGAAGGCGTTGAACACATAAAAAGAGTAGATGATCTGCATTGATTAACTTTGAGCTGCCAACAAAGATAGTCGATATTACATGTGGATCATCCCGCATGTCAAGCGCTGTGGCCAGCCATAAAAAGGAACCAGATCCGAACAGGTATAATTTAGGGTTCGTCAATCGCACACCATAACTGAGGCTATGGACCACGGAGTAGATTATCGACTTGATATTCCTACCTCCAAAGGTTCAAGCATGAACCTGAACATCTTCAATTTGTATGCACGGGCTCGTTCCGAGATATGTCTGGGCATGCAATGATAACGCCAAGAGCGGACCCGCTAAGGAAATTTCCCCTCTCCTTCATTTATGTCACAGCTCCATCCGCCCACTTCGCATCCATCCATCAATCACATCGCTTCCAAATCACTTTACCGTGCCGTTCCGTCCACGACCTTGATCTCGACCTCCCATTAAGCAACGCTTAGACTTGCTTAATCTCACGTCGATCTCCTCTATTACTTGATTCCACCAATCCGCAGAGAATTCCTCCTTACTCCACTCCGTCCCTATCCTCATATTTGGCACTTGATGGGACCCAGTTCAACTCCCGAGAGGAAGCACAATTTTCCATTTTAAGTTTAAGCCAAGCTTTTTCTCGTATATGCGAGAAAATGCTTGGTTTATCTGCAACTGAAGCATTTCGACAATTCCATATCGCATCACGAAAGATAGGCTAATCCCACTTTCGGAGTTAAAATTTTATTATTTGTTCAGTATCTTCGCTTCGCATCATTTGTTCTCGGGACCGGTGTGATTAGAGATGAACGATGCATATGCAGATCAATATATAAGATAGGAGGACTTTTGGGCCTCGTGCATTTATCATATGTTAAACAGTACGTTGTAAACAAGTGACTGCAGATGTGTCCGTATGTGTACATATGTCGTGACGTCGAAGTACATTTAGATTGTAAAGTAACAAATTGAAGTATGAAGGAGAACCTGTTGTGGTAGAGATCAAGAATGCATATGATTTTGTGTATGGACTGAGGAAGTTACCCAGATGAAATATATGCAATAATCCATTGCGCGAAATCGACGTGCACAATATCAAACATTGCTCATATTGTCTATAAAGTTTCTTTCCTATGACATAATTCGTAACTCATAAGATAAAGAGAGCAGGCATAACATGATTGAGTGGACATCCTTCATTTTCCGCACCCGTGACGCCCACCCCCTCCAACATATTTTTTTCATATCCATACCAGCCCGGGACCAATACCCATTATTCTTGCCGACCACCCACACCATGCACCAGAAGCCCCCCAGTAGATAAAGTCAACAACTAAACACAATCGCTCTCCAGATTGTGCAAAGGAAAAGAGCATTCTGGCTATAATAAACATGTAAAGGAAAAAAAGGCCTGGCGTGGCATAACGTACTTGAAAGAAATGATAAATATGACATGATCAACAATGGATATCATCGTAATAACAGAGAACAAGTAGTCATCAAGTCGTCACAAACAAACAGCCCAACCATATAGACAACTCAAACCATAATCCACTCACCCTCAGTCCCCTCCATATGCTTACTCCATTTGAAAGGTCCCCCTTGACCTCTCATCGTATCCGGGGATGCTCTACCATCTTTCCCTTCTGCCCATAACTTTTCCAAAACTTCCAATCCCGCCAAATTATTAAGATATCCCGATCTCCCCATAATCTCTCTGCATTTACTTCTTACAATACTCTGTTGCAATTCATTGACACACTCACTCCCGCTTATGAAAAGGGGCCACAACAAGAACTTCTCACATCCACTATTGGTCTCCAAACTTGTTACATAGAACAAGACTTGGCTGACCAAATTCTGGAAGTTGAGATGCGAGCTTGGCGTTTTGGGACATGCAAGACGTTCGGTGTATAACAGAGCTGAGTAACGGAATGCCTCAGAAATATATCCGAAATCACGGAGCTGAGTGGGAGTTGGAGTGACTGGGAGGGAAGAGACAATGTGAGAAGGAGAGAACTCCCACTCTTGAAGGGCTAGGCGAGCGGCTTTCCATTCGGTCCAAAATGTAGTTTGTGGATCTTCACTGGACATGAAGGATGGAACAGATGATGTTGGAGAGCAGGAAGTGGGTGAGAGAGGTGTGAGACTTTGCATAGGAAAAGTGGGTTCATCGTCAAGAGACATTGTTGAAGCGAAACCATTGCCGTCAAATGAAAGAGAATGGAGATTATAAAAGTCGACAAGTGCTTGGCCAGCTAGACGAGGTCTGTGAAGTCCATTGGCATGGTGAATATGATTTGGATGAGGGGGGTGGGTCAGGGCATCGTTCATGACTGGACGATGCTGCGACAATAGATTAAGGCGTCCCAACTTGGCGATCGTTTTGAAAAGGACAGCATCACAGCCTGCCATGTTTTCCAGCCCGTGATTGGGATTAGATGGGCTAGCTAGCATTTCAAGGTATCCACCTCGAAGCTGAGCTTCACGATCATTGATTGAAGCGGCAATACCGTCAAAATAAGTGAAGAGAGATTCCATCCATCCCCAATTACCGGTCTCAGTTCCGCATTCTCGCATCCCGAGAATCTTTTTCACTCCAGCGAATTGAGTACGGAATTGAGCAATACCAGATTCACACATTCGGTAATGACAGAGGATGAAGAGTGTCGCGAGAACACAATCGTGGCGGGCCTTGGAAGGGTCGGTCAATTGTTGATTAAGTAGGGAAACGGCTAGAGAGCGATGTTGATATTCTTCTTGGAGCGATGCGTCGGTGCTCAAAGAATCGGTTAATGTTGATTGAGTGGAGGTTCTTCTAGTGCAAACCGGTCTACCAATAGACCCCGCATTTATACGATCTTGAAGTTCGAGTTCAATTGGTTGACGCCAATGATCTTGACCTAATGATTGCTTTCGTTTCATGCGTAAGTTGCAAGCAGCAAGCGCACAAATGGCATGTTGAAGACTTTGACTTGAGGATGCTAGAGCGAGAATATGTTCGCGGTATGGATTTGAGGGGCTATCGATGACCACTACCGACGGGCAGATGATCTTCTCGTAGTAATCTAGAAAGAATGAGATTCGAGGTGACATTTCAGATGTAAGTGAAGATGACATGGAATCATGCCCAGTAATATGACCATAAGTATCTGTCTCCGACGTAGGGGAACCAACATCATCTTCATTTATAGAAGTCCAACCAAAATGACTAGACCTGGCGCTTGTAGCAAATACTTCGGGCTCGTGAGAGTTTTGAATGCCTAGTAAACAATAATTAGCAAGGAGGTCTAAACAAACGCGTCGAATGAAATTATTCACCTAACATTTCATCGTCATAGAAGATTTCATGTACCGAAGAAGACGTTTGATGAGATCGTTGAGGTTGGCGTCCCTCTGACAGGTCATACATGTTTTGATGGGAACTCATGCTTGAGCTCATTTCTGATGGAGCGTAAAATTGATCTGGACATGATGTAGGCCCACGTGAGTTTCCCATAATATCCGAACTTTGATCTGTTACCGAGGTATTTCTAGAAGAATAGCTGTTGTACAACGGCGCGGGGCTGTTGAGGAAGGGAACTTCATCATTTTGAAAAGACTGACTGATCGGTGATGTATACTCGCTGTCAGGGTATGGACTCAGAGAGTCCACGGAACTAGAAAGTCCTTCTGGTCTTCCGATACTAAGCGTATGTATCCGATGAAGTTGTGGGGGTAAAGATCTTTGCATGTGCCGTTGTTGTGTATCAGGATGGTACTTTGGAATTGTGAATTCGTGAGATGGTGCGGTAATATTCCAATCTGACATTTGGGTAGCCGTTGAAGCATTTCCATGAGGTGCCATGTTGACAAAATCATATGTCATGAATGGGCTAACAGGCAAAGAAGCTGCATTTTCTAATTTGATTCGAACACCCTCTTCATTTTTTCCCAAAGTTCTCGCAATGGTAGAAGCAGCTCGAGGACGAGTAATGGGTGGACTTTTTGGAGCAGGAGGGGATTTTGCAACGGGTAAGGATAAACCTCGCAGTTTTCCTCGACTTGCCACTCCCACACCCCAAGTCAATTGAGTTTTGTAACCTGAGCACTCATTTCCTATTTCCAGACATTGCGAGCAATATGGTCTTCTTCGATCGCATTTTACGTTGCGTTTGGTACAAGTGAAACAATCGTCCGATGCACCGCTGGCTGGAGCTCTCCTGCGTCGCTTGCGTTGAGCGACAGTAGGCGGATCAGACGAGGCAGAGGAAGGAGGACAGGCTACAGGGAGAGTCATTTTTGATGGTAATTATGAGGTAAAAACTTGAAGATTTGGTTGAAAAGAGAAATGCAAGTCCATTGAAATATAATGTAGCCAAGTGAACCAAAGAAGCATGTGGAGAATAGCCGTTGGCTGAAGCTTGGGGTTGCAATATTTGGAGAAATACATGGTGGGCATGTCAATGAGTTATGAGGAGCAAACCGAGCTAGACGATGAATAACCCCTAGACAGTAGGTCCGCCCCAGCGCACATTCAAGTAACGGGTGGGGATCAGCACTGCGGCTTTGCAAGGGGGGAAAAGGGAAATGTAAAAAGATTGTGATGTAGGGTAGAGTGGACAGGGTATTGAAGTGGGAGTAGCACGGTTTTCCTAGGAACCGAGGGCCATTTTCAACTACCACCTCCGAGTGGTTTAATCTATAATTCGACTAATCAGAAATTATTCACTGTCTGCAGAGGAAGCACAACGCAGCCTTCCATGCAGGAATCTTTACTTCTTTCGATGAGTTTACATATAGTCAATAGCAACATCAATGATATTCGTAGTTGATTGTGCTTTTGGAAATCTTGGCTTAAGAAAGAAGATTGGAGGGATTTTGAATTGGCTTCTGCATTGGTTCTTGGTCCGAATGCTTAATTATAGGATTCTGATTCAACTTGGCCCACTTTGATATACCTGATTTTCGTGAAGTGACATGAGATCGAGAGCTTCATATGATTAAGCTTAATATGTCTCAATCCACAATCAATCCACTGAAGCATGTCCGTTCATTTTCTGTGCCGTGGAGGTTGATCTGAAAGCCGGGGTGATATTTCGCCATTGCGGAAGCTATCTCAAGAAGTGCCAGCAGACCCCATACAACAACCGGGTTCTGAATTATGATTACTTTTAACAGGCTCTATATATTTTGGTCCGTCATGAAATCCCATGTCCCATTTTACTAGTATCATTTCCCATAGTAGTTATTGGATGAGAGGAGTTTGAAAATGATAGGTACAGATATGGCTTAAAACAGAGTGTAGAAATTTCGGAGATGAGAAGTAACAGGTAATTGTCACAAGCCACTGGCGTCAAGCAACCACTAAAATACAGTATCGGCGGGGAGGCAAACGGTGATTCTATTTCTCCCCTGATTGTTCGGTACTGCCGTGCACATGCCTGAATTAGTAGCCCGGCCGTTGATAATGTTTAGCTCGCCTTAGCCCTGTTTTACCTTTGTAAAACATCAAGAAAGCGTTCATATCCCGTGTTGCAATACTAAAGTTGCATTATGACGAGATTGTTGATGTGACAATGCAAGGCATATTCAGGACTTTTACCCAGGACATTGAAATGATGAAGGGCCATGGAAAGGAAATTGCTGTAATTCGACTCTTTGATCCCAGTCTGACGCAATGTGCGATCGAGGCACAAAGCGTCTGATTACAGCCGATAAGATTGCTAATAGATAAGAAGCACTATACTATTTGCATTTGAATGCAGGAGAGGGTAGTACTGACCGTACCTAATGAGGGGTATTGTATATATTTTCATGTCTGAGCTGTCCATGAAGAATTAACTTCATCATGGGTCTTAATGAGGTTGGGTAGCAAACTAGTATACGATTGGTTACTTACCTGCAGAGCTCAAGCTCGTTTATATTCTGCAGCTAGTAAAGCGCGAAAGACGCAAAACTGTAAGAAATGAGAGAATAGTTGAGGTGCGGATAGGATTTACTCGAGTTTCGTAGAAAAAAATCTACTTCATCCTTTTGTATGGCAGTTGGGAATTTCTTTCATCATATTTTTCGATTGGATCAAGCAAGAAACACCCACAAAATGATATCAAGTCTTCCGAGCCACTCATATCAATCATACTCCATATTGTATGCATCTGGCCGTCGACTAGCCTCCATTATGGGCCATTTTGCACTAGGATCCCCCTCATGATCTTCATTCCGCTTTCACAGCCCTCTGGATGAATGCTAAGGACTGGATGATAAGAATAGTAATGATTCTGACAAACAGAATCATTGTTGTTACATACACTGTGATACGCATGACCATTGATTAAGGGTTCAATCTAGACAATTGCAGATCTGTCGAATCTATACGGCTGGACCTCAAATCAAAGTAAAATCCTTGATGATCATCAACCAAATTCACAAGAGAGGTGTAGTATTTCTATTTGATTCCCATACCTGTTACTGCAAGACAAGTTAGACAATCGCTGCATGAAATAAATGAATGTTTGGTGGCTCCCCCAAAAGTTGATTCGGCAAATCACAAACCGAGCACCGCAATCAAGCCAATCAATCCTTGTAAAGCCTCTCTTCAACAAGATTTAATTGCACTACCCTAGAGTGGATACGAGCTAGAAGCTTTCGAAGACGCATAGAAGGAATTCGCGCCACGATGGAACTCCCCGAAGAACGATACAAAGCAATATTATATCACAAATTTGTAACCTTAACGTACAGTTCTCCTCCAGCGCTCTTCCAATCGGCTCACCTATATGCTTTAGCAAATCCGTGCAGGCTTTAGATGCCTCGGTGTGGCTTCTCAACCCCGGTGGAAGTGGATCAGGGGGGATAGATAGATCCCTGTTAATCCCTCAGAGGTTACAACTTTACCGGTCGTTTCCTTCATCTTTGATCGCGAGTCAGTATCTCATCAACAGCAGGGCGATATCCAGCTACTTTTCCTCATTTTTCAGACCAGACTGGCCCGGAAGTATGTGCAATCTCATCGTTTACGGGGGTTTGCTAGCCTCGAGCTATCTCAGGTACAGGTCAAAAAGTTCAAAGATGCCTTCCAGCGATCAGCGGAAGTAACAAACTAACTTTTCTTGCAGTCAAACTTGGACGATTTTTGGTTCACAAGCATATGTGTTTTTAGAAATTTCAGCAGGGTTAGTTGTTTAATCTTCAGGGAAATCATGGGGGCTCAGTACAATAGTGTCAGTAAACATTAATAGAGTACATATTGGGATGGAAGCTAACGAAACAACAAGGAAACCATGACAACGGGCGATTAACAATAGAATTTAAGACCTAGTTTTGAGAAAGTCTAATCGAACTTTCAAGGTCTGTCAAATTTTGGGTGATTTGGTGTCCTATCTAGTACGCAGCAATGTTATCAAGATTGGGTAATATCTCCGATACGCCATCGTTCGTGATGTCTCAGATATGCCAAGTTAACCTATCTTTTTTACCCGCACCACAAGGTGGACCTGCCCACCATCTTAATTCCTCAGTAGACTGACGGACTTGGCCTAAAGTTGCTCTACCGGCATCAATGAATGGTTGACGATGCGAATCATATGATACAACAGCCTTCTTTATGATTTTTTGCGCGGCTATTTTGAAGAAGTCATAGATGCAGTCTGTAGGGGATCAAGAAGAATTTACGGGAACAGAATCCTACTGCTAGCCTCTCATCGCGCTGTCCGTTGCCGAACTTCGCCATCTACTCCGAAATCCTTTCGCACTTGATATTTTACTGCTGATTGGTCTAGATATTTCTTTACTGCTCAAGTCACTTGTCAAGCGAGAAATCTACAGACTGTGATGGAACGTTACACCAGGTGCGTTGGGATTGGCTGTTGATCCTTTTAGGACTTCGCCTCTTCATCCTCCTCCACTGACAAATCAATATTCAAAGGCAAAGGCTGAAATAAAGAGAATAGGAAAGATGAGGTAGATCGTGAAAAGAGTAAGACAACTTTGTGGGGGTACGAAGTGCACAGCATTTTGCCCATGCTCCGTGTAGCAAAGCAGAATAGATTCCTTCAGCATTCATACCTAATCGTCCTCGATTTCGGACATTACCATCGGTACAGACAAAGTGGCATGCTGTCAAATATCCGATGAACTTATCCCATGAACAACCAACCAAGTCCATATACATCCCAGAATTTTAGATTCACACCATGCTCAATGGTATAGTTGTGACGGAGATGAAGTTCGGAGAAAACACCATTCTCGTTTAGATTGGTGTACCTCCATAGATTAGCATTGGATCACTGTTTGTTTGACAACAATACTTTAGATAAGTATCTAGTACCTAAGTCGTGGGGATTGGGGGGTGGGGGTTCTTCCGTGTTAACTTTTGACATCTCCGCAGACATCATTGGATACGCGGAAGCAATATACATTTGTACTGTTCTAGTTCTATCAGCTAGACAGGCACAACTGTAGGTATGTAAGGCCCACTTGGGATGAAGACATTCACATGTGTGATGAGAGTTGCTTAATCGCAATGCAAGTATATATTAAGACACTGCTTAAGTCTCTCGCTTCCAGTATTAGATTGAGATGATGAAGATATACATGATACGACTAAAAAATGGTTGCTCGTGGCCGAGGTAGATTATACAAAAGGAAGAGAGTCACGCGACCGAATCACGTGATCTAGGACATCGAAATGGATCATTTGAATCATGTGATGATAAGCCCGCTGATAAGGCTAGCTTCGAATTTTTCAAATTCAATGTGAAGATTTTCGAAGTTAGAGTTTGAGTTTGAGAGGTGACAATACATTATCATAACAATTTTATTCCATCACCTCATATATCATCTGCAATCATAGAAAATGGGTCGCGAACTCCAAAAGAAGAAGAATAGATCTGGAAATAATAAGATCAAGCACAAGCCAAAGTCTAAGCGTATCAATCCTTTAGGCAATGCAATCGTCGCTGCAAACTGGTAAGTTTGCTACACAGCTTTGAATGTTTGCAATTAATCCTAATTACTTATCACAGGAGACAAGATGAAACTCTTACACAAAATTACCGCCGCCTTGGCTTAACTAGTCGTCTCAATACCGTTACTGGTGGTATCGAGAAGAAGACTGCAGGCTCCGAATCAAAAACCTCCACTGCAAACAAGCTCGCCATCTCAAATGCAATTCCAAAGAACTTTGCACCAACTGAAGCGCGAGTCGAGAGAGACCCAGAGACTGGAAAGATTATCAGGGTCATTCACGATGAGAAGAAATCAAATCCATTGAACGATATTCTGAACTCAGATGACGAGGATGGAGAGGGTTTCGAAGGTTTCGGTGATGAGGAGGGTTCCGCATCAAAAAACGAGATTGTAAAGATGTTGGAGGAACAAGCCTCAAGAGCAGGCGAGAAAAGAGAGAGGCAACAAAGTGAGAGGGAGAAAGAGTGGATTGAGAAGTTGGTCAAGAGATGGGGAGAGAACTACGGAGCCATGGTTAGGGATAGAAGATTGAATCCCATGCAACAGACGGAATCGGACATCAGAAGACGAGTTCAAAAGTGGAAGGATGCTGGCGGTGTTGTTACTACCGAAGCATGAGGTTCTCTGGATGTTTGATGATGCATATCAGAATGGTGTCTGGCGTTTTGTGGGGGCTATAACTACGAAGAGGGTTAATAAAAGTCATATCAAATTCAAAGGGCCAGTTCTCTTGAAGTCAAGAACGGCGCAAGTTTTTCATCCATGTTTTCCAAATTTGTAATATTTTTCACATAGTATGATGTGCTACTGTTTGATTGTCAACCCTAATTAGGAAACGCAGCTTTCCATTACCGCAGAAGAGGCTTCTGGGCACCAATAGCCAAGAAGCCAAGATCATGAGTACGCCAAGTATATTGACAACATCAAATATTTTAAAGCATTTCTGATTATTAAAAACATTATTTATCGACAGTCTAATCCTGCGCTTGGACGGGGAGTACTCTATATCCTAAACTGGACAATGTCCGTTTCCAAAACTTTCTTCTACACAATTCCAACATTCCAAATGCAAATCCTGCAAGCGCTATTACTTCCAATGCAAATCTCGATGGTATTAATGGCTTTGCAGCCTCGTCTTCTTCCTCCTCCATTATTTCCTTCGTCTCGGGTAGATCGATCTGTTGAATCGTTAGTTGGGTCATCTCGATGAGTCGATGGCACTCAGTGAGAGAATAACATACCGTGTTCTTACAGTCTGTTCCAGTAGCCCAAATCTCACTACTCTCCAGCTTTACACCCTCGCCATCAATAGCGACAACTCTTACCCAACACCAAGCTTTTCTCTGAAACAAGATCTTTGTCTCAAACCCGCCCCTCTGAACTTCAGCTACCATCTGAAATTCCTCCTCGCCTCCTTCTCCCCTATCAGTCTTCGATCCCTCTAAAACCCAGCCTCTAACCTCCGTAGCCCCATTCCAACTAACATACACGTTGTTATGCATCACCTTTACATCCGGCACCGTATCGGGCCTGCCAACCCACGCATGTTTCAACACCTTATATGTTTGTACCGCTCCTGTGTTGAATGTCTTTTGAGATCCAATATGAACATCGCAGAGAACTTCTCCTTCAGAACTATACTCAGTCCAAGCAGCGTTGTACCCATATCCAACCATTACATTTCCATTCTCGAGTACCTGCATACTGCCTTGGCTAGCACTTAAGATTTTTCTCGGATTCACATATTCGCGTACGATTTCCGCGGTCATGGCTTCCAGATCGAGGGATATATGAATAGCACGAGAGCTCTCAACTTGCGGTTTCAATCCATAACGCGCCCCGTTGTCGAATAAGGTGATTCCCTTACGATCTGCAGTCCAATGAGCATCATGTTGCCAGCTGAATGCTGTAGCTTTTCCGTCCGACAAATCCTTGAAACTATTTCTCTTTCCTCCGAGCTCCCAAAGAATCTCACCCGTCTTCCCATCAATATAAGACACTGATTGATAATATCTTGAACTGATCAGGTAATTCCCCAATCCATCTTTGTCAATACTATTGATGTGAAAGAAGTCGTACCCATGGCTACTTCTCAGTCCAGCACTTCCGGCTGGAAAATAGGAGTCTTCGGTGTTGAAATGCTCGGACGCGTGCCATTCGAATATAATTTCGTTGGTTTCTATGTTAATTTCTTGGATTACGGAATCCCAAACCCAGCCTTTACGGATGCGACGACGGTATTGGATGTCCATTTCTCTGAGAATGTATTGGGTTACTAGAGCGGTCCCTTCTGGTGTTATGTGGAATTCGTGGAGGTCTCCTAGGGCGTTATTGCCAGCTGTTAGACGGTAGGCTTCTTTGTATTGAGAATCTAGCTGGATGAGATTGTTAGTATAGATCACATGTCTACATGTCGGAGAAAAATACCAAGATATAAACTCCCTCTCCATGTCCCCCCACCGAATCATCACCTTGCCAAAACGTCAAATAATCTACGCCTTTGTATCTCTGTACATTCAACCCAAATGTTTCCCCGTACGATGCATTCATCCAAACGAGATTTCCCTGGTGGTCATGGATCATGGGACTTTGTCCCGTGATATGCACTTTGTCGCCTCTGAGAGATATCATCGTATATAATCCATCGTCACATCTCGGGTCATCTTGAAGGATATTCAGACCAGGAGAGATCAAGTCTGGACGTGTTGCATAGGTGCGATTCGGATAGGCACCATAATCTCCGGCGTCAAATTCCGTGGATTGGATGTAAGGGAAGGTTTCTGGAGTCGCGCCGATGAGACGCCCAAGGATAATAGGGATGAGATGTGTGAAATGTGTTCCCCGCATTGCGTGATTTGGGGGTTTGATGATGGGAAGAGGGGTATCGAATATGAAATAGATGAACAGAAGGGTATCGAAAGGTGTTGTGTGCCCAAAACAAAAGATAATTTCAGGGGAAAAGGGGTTGAAAATTGCAAAGACAAAATCAAGAATTTGAGACAGGAAAAGACGCAAATACAATAAGCAACATCTAGTACAAAAGGAAAAGCACTCATCAAAACCTCATATCGACTTTCCTCTCACATATCAAAGATCCTGTAGACTCAGAGAATGAGCCCACTCACAGTACAAACCGAAAGCATACATCCTCTTCTCCTTACGACGCGGCTGACGTTCTCAGGATAGAAAGCAATGTGATCCATATGGTATCCATACAAGACCGCCAAGCACAAATCATGATTTCTGAATAGGTGTCAAGCTTTTGGAAATTTTCCTATAGTGGATATGTATGTAGATGGGAATGGGGAATTTTGATCATTTAAGATTAACGCGCGGCGAACGTGCACGTATTGTGGGGATCTTTGCGTGTAAGGACGCGCCAGCGAGATGGGGGTTGTTTGGAGATAATGGATAAGCAAATATATTTCACGATTCCAAGATGTGAATCTTTACTTTTTGATTTTGAAGAACAGTTAGTTGTGGTTGGGTCTCTATCTATACCAAAGATATATATCGTCGGATAAATAGCTGAGGGGACCAGAAATAAATCCTGAAAAATAGGGGTTCGTTGAAAAAACAGAAAAAAAGAAAGAAGTGTCAGAAATTTCTTTTGAGCAAAATCATGCAGTATGTACGAATGCGATATTGCCCCGTTTCCACGCAATTGGGTACAAGGGTATCAGCCTCAGTTTTACGCAGTCCTTGCCTCATCACGGTGATCAAAATGTATAGTTTTCTCCACAGCCACCGTAGCTTTCTCTGCTAATGTATCGTCTTCAAATACTATTCCCAAGTACTCCCGTCAGTGCTGCTCAATTGCATTCGCAAATTGATATATGAAGTCCACAGAACCAAAAACAAAAGCACTTACGAAAAGCAAGTTCTTCTAACGTGCGTCCCTGAGTCTCAGGGTAGAAGAAGTAAATTACTATTATCTCAATGCAAATGGTTACACAATACATAATAAGATATTTCCAACCGACGTTCGCCATACCGATGGGATTTACGTAGGTGGTGAAGAAATTAGCGGCTCGGACGAAAAATTGTTCGATGGAGATGCCGCGAGAACGGTCCGCGTAGGGGAAGAGTTCTACTAGGTAGGCTGCGGGGTTTTAGTATGGTTTGTGGGTTTGGATCTCGGCATTTGATAGGCTAGGGAATGGTACCTACTATATGCAAGTGCATTGTTCCCAATATTATAACAAGGCGAGTAGAGAAATATAAAAAATAGGGTGGTGATGGCAGCAGCTTTGTTGGGTCGATGAGTATCATATGCTAGCATGGCTCGTTGCATACTGATTGTCCATGCTATATACACGAAGAACATACTACAAGCACAGAGTAAAAACATAGTGCGGCGTTTATACCGTGGTACTATCAGGGCGGCCAAAGTTCCTGTGAGGAAAGACCAAGCTGTCGATCCGAGATTAATCATGGTTTTAGTGTTGGTATCCGTGTAACCTATCATGGCAAGAATCTTGGAAAGGTAGAATCTGGGGTTGTTAAACCATGAGATGAGCGAATGAATAGGGCACTCACGAAATTAAAGTATTGCCAGACCATTGTGTGAAGACCCCCATAGCAGAAGCTAAAAATACCCGGCGTCTCATTCCAGGAGTGCTCAACATGGACATCCAAGATCGCTTAGAAGCTTCTACTTCTAGTTTGATCGTTGTTTCAATCTGAGTCATTTCAGCACGAACGAATACCGAATCACGATTTCCTTCTGCGTGATACTTGACCAAGATATCGAATGCTTCGTCTCGTCTATCTTTGCTAATAAGGTACCGAGGACTTTCCGGTAGGAAGCTTTGTCTGTTGTTAGGAGTATCTTGGTAAATTCAAGATATACTTACAAGACGAAGATAATCTGAATAAGTGAGGGACAGGCTTGAAGAAGAGATGGAATTCTCCATCCCCAATCTGTATTAATGGTTGCAGTGCGAACAGTAATTCCGGAAGCAACTAAAGATCCTACAAACCAAGATGCATTGAAGAGAGAAGTCATAACTGGCCTTTCTTTCGGATATGCTAATTCACCAAGCATGGCTGAGCCGGAGACAATTGCAAAGACAATACCAAATCCAAGAAACATTCTGGCAACGATGTACATCGCAGCTGTTTCTAGGTAAGTGTGTACCCAATCAGGGGTGTTCAGATGGCCATACCATTGATGGAGAAGCCCTGAAGGAAAGATCCAACGACCATCACAATAGAACCAAACATTATGGACCACCTACGTCCAAAACTTTGAGCAAGCGTTGGTACAAACGGCACTGACAAAATAGCACCTAAGCTGTATGCCGCAGCCACAATGCCCAAAAGCTCTGCCTTCAAAGCATACGTCGACTTCCCAGCCCCATCAATCGTCGGCTCACCAAAGTCTGTATTTCATCATCAATAATCCTCCAACCAATAAACTAACTAAACACTAAACTCACATTTATTCCAAGAAGGAATAAACTGCAATCCATTGATCATCTGAGAGTCGAACCCCGACGTCATCTCAATCCCCATACATGTTGGATATAGCAAAAGATACAGGATTCTTAAATTTCTTTTTCTCCACCAAGCCACCTTATCCTCATCAACGATCCTGGTGAGAACGGGATCTGCTTCATGACCCAAATTGACTAGACCCATTCTCAAAACTGATCCCTAAAAGCCTTCGAACTATTGAAGAATATTTACGCCCAAAGATATTATATTCCAGAACGTTCTTTGGGTTCGGCGTTGAAGTGAATTGAGGAAGGTGGTATGATTTTCAATAACTCGACGCGGAGGAAACTAAACGAAAGTTGAATGCGTCCGATCGTGCAGATATAGCTCTCAAATATCCACTTGAACGATTCCAGGGGGGTTTCAACCCCGCGCTGACTGCACACTTAGCGCCTTGGTCGGCATCTTCCTGTTGTACAAATAATGTAGCCAAGACGGTGTCAGGACCGAAAATCTCCAAGTCACTGGATAAATAGGTTCGTGGGGGTCATGCAACCGGTATTTGAAATTTGTAGAATGCATTCTACAAAAAAGTTAATATTATGTGCAGGTAAAGCGGATTTTAGGAGACTTTTCCACAATCAGAAATGTATTTCTTGTCTCCTTCCATATCCATGAAGAAAGCCGGAGTTCCTGCAGCGACTTTATGCGCTGTGGAGAGCTAATGCATGTCAATTTGGGGGTGGAGATCTTCTAGAAGATGAGTTTCCTTCTGTTTCACTGCATATGTATGCACGGAATTGAAGAAAATGTAGGGCTCGATTCAGGGAAGATGACTCTTTCTCCGAGACTCCCGCTGCAAAATACCGGGCCATGTCATCGTGAAAACAAGTATGTACAATGGCAAGCATGCTCATATCTTTCGAATTGATCCAAAATTGACCCCCATCGTGTTTCGGCGGGTCCCGATTCTCTTTCCAAGGTCCCAGGCATAGTCTCAGATTCCACACAGGATTTGACGGCATCCAAAACATTTTCCACGTTCTCTCGGGTAGATTTTGAATCACCAGGCCAGTAAGGTATGGATTGCTCGTAATCGACCTCTTTGATACACAAGTCCACAAGATGAAACTCATCTCCATTTAATTTTTCAAAATTGATTTTTCTACATACTTGATTTCCAATGACCTCATACTCCCTAATTACCTGTTTCAACGATCTCCATTTAAGAAGAATGGCGTGGAACCTATACAAGTTTGGGTAAATCACGCCGTGTATGTGGCTTTTGAACCCTAAACGCTAGGATCTGTCAAGATCTGATGGGTCTACGAAGCTGCAGAAAGGCAGATAGCATGATTTCCAGCCCATTTCGTAGTCATGCCGATCTTTGCGAAAAGACAAAATGTACTTTCTATAATTGAGATGTATCGGAGTAGGAGCAGCGATTTCCACCATGGTATAATGGTCAAGCCAAAAGTAAGCTCACATCATTTCAAGGTGATGTTCCGTAAACAAGAGTAAATATGGAGTGCAGTAGGAATTGGCGTAGTTGATGTATATTTTCCAGTGATGCTTGGTCCATTTTCTGTTAGAGCCTGTTGCAAGATGAGGATGTAGAAGAGCGATCATTCGTTGGTTATGCACGAAATATACTCGCTGTCCTTCAAGCCCACATACAAGTTCCCATATGTATATTTAAAGTTCTGGAGGCAATTTGAGAAACTGGTAAGATTCCTAGTTTCACCAAAAGCCTCCATGGTAGACTCCACATACGCCTGGCTAGCTTTATCAGGCTCTAGCATAGGTACGCAACGTGGGCTAGAATAACTGCGCCTTGATTGCACCAGGTATAGCATTCAGAAGTATAAAGTCAAGATCTCTCGTGGATGAGAATACCCACCTTGTAGCTTTTGAACGCATGGGAACCACGCAAGACCGTCGTTCGCGATACCTCTGCAGTATTGATGCGTAGACCTCAGAGCCAGCTAGAACTTTCCCATATATATTATTGTTTCGTAAGTGGTTTGAGACTTTGGAAGCTTCGCGAGGAATTCATTGGAGTCGACTATTCACAATGTCGTCGACTTTGAAATACCTGGTGCATACACATCACCGCAATATTTGAGCGTTGGGATGTCTCATAGACTAGAAGGGCGAGTATGCTACTAGTTCCGCGGTTGAGAAAACCTGCAGATAGCAACTCACTGAGTCGATGGTTCGGCTTGTTCGGGGAAGGAGCAACTCCGTTTGCTGCCTCAGAAACTTTCAATCAACGGCATTGTGCAGTAAATAGATCAAACTTCAGAGAGACTCTTAATCGTGGCTACTCGAATGGTCTATGGAAAGGAAGATACTCAAGTCGTAAAACGTTATTCGTATCTCAATTTAAATGGCTATATGACGATTTTGGGAGTAGATGAGCCTAGAGCTAGGGATGTCAACTGAAATGATTACGTAACATGGATCATCTCCGCACTTCTACTTCACATCTTCCGACGATTCCCCACTACCAAGTCCATGTAACTCGATCGAGGACCAAGGGTTCTTTTCGTCTGAATTATCGTACACTTCTAATAAACCACCAGGTAAAGTTGATTATCATGTGGTAGAGTGAGATCAGGGGGAGCCCGCTTAGGCTTGCACCAGGAGATGATCGCGTTGGTACAATACACCTTATATCAACGTTCAACGTCTGACCTGGCTTAATGTACTTCAAGGACTCCAAGAGTCTCCATTCATCCACATGGAATATCTCAGTTTGAAATACCCACGGCACAAGGCAGCTTTCAAGTGGAGGTCTATGCTGAAAGTATCGTCTGCCCAGAGTTGTAAACTACGGCTGATAGTGAGGCTAAAGCTAAACATGCAGCCTGCAAATCTCTGCTTAGGAATGTATTATATTTATAATGACGGTGACTAACCTGATAATAGTGGATTACTACTGATGTTGTAGCTCGGTAGACTCAGCTGAACTTCGACTTGTTGGGTCCGAACGGATAAAAGTCAATCTATTTTCGAATCTTTTATACCAGCTCTTTCAGGTATACAAGACCTTTTTCTTTAACACGCGTGAATTTATATAAGCATGAATATGTTGCTTTCTGGCTGTTTGAAGCTCTAGTTATTGGATAATTCGAAAGAGGCAAGAAAGACTTCGATGATAATGCTTGTAGCATTGTGTTTAGGTCACGTCGATACTTCACATTCAATCACAGATTAAGATTTCATTTGAAGACGGGATATTCAACATCATTTTCATGAGTAATTCATTGCGAAAATAACACAAAGCTAGTGACAGCTCACTGCCTGGATGAGATAAAACATCCGCACCAAGCCCCGAAACCCTGTTAATATACACTCCAGATAACAGAAAATGCAGATGTCCTTCTCCGCGTCTCCCACAAATAAACGCGCAATTATTTTTGATTGTGAATCCATCCTTCCCTGACATCAAAGCAAGAGCCACTTAAGTGCCTAAGCATCCTCTGCCATGTTAAACCTACCTTCATCTCAAATCTCATAACACACAGCTCTCCGATCCAATCTTCCCTTCCAGAACAAGAATTTCCATCTCACACTTTTTCACTCCAACCCCTATCAGCTACCCCGCCACCAGAAGGAAAGACTGGGGGTAAATACTCGAGCAGCCCAAGGATAAAAAGCAAGACAAGGATTAGACCGAACATCCATGCCAAAGGCACAGAGAGGAAACTCAAGATATCCCAAAGACTTTCTTCTGGTTCGGACTTTGAAGGTGTATTGGGACGCGACTTGTGGGAATTTTGTGTGATCTGACGATTGTTGGCACCCCCGGTAGAGAGGTATGGCTCATCAACAGGCATGAGCTCCTCAATAGAATGCGTGGGAAACGATGGAGTCAACGTAGGAATGCTCATTCCATATGGAGAAACATGTCCACCAATTCTACCATGGCCACGACCTGGATTTCCTTTCTTGCCTGTGAGAATCTTGCTCGAAGTCATCCATACAAGCCAGATGATGGAGCCTCCAAACAAAACATACGCACCCAGAACTCTGGGCCTCACGTTATGTAAAAAGCCCCGGTAGATGTTTTTAAGAGACGTGCGAGACGAGGAAGTCGATCCGGAGCCAGAAACGCCTGAATGGTAACCAGAACTATCACCAGATGAATATTGCTTGAAGGGAAATGGGAGGTCGATAGTACCGTTAATGGTATGATACTCATAGAATTCGCTTGGAGCACTGGATGCAACAACGTGACGAGAGGACCCTGTAGAGGAACGATGTCGCTTTGGGAGAAGTGGCGTGGATTGAGATTTCTTTTTTATAGGACGTGATAGAGACGATCCTGCAGGTTTACGAGTAGTACTAGGTGTTGAGGGTGCTATGAAGATCTTTGCTGGTGTATACGTGGAAGATGTATACGATGCGTTGCAAGTAAGTACTGGCTTTGGGACAGCAGGAGAAGCCATTGCTTCAGAGAAAATTGGGGGCGATTCTACCTGGGAAATGACACCCTTCATGTCAGTGGACTCAGGCAGCGTAATACCAGTAGTTGGTAAGCTCTTTCCCTTGTTTGCGAGAGGATTACTCATGTTTGCTGCAATTATTCTAATCTTATTCTGTGGAGATAGAGGAATATCACGATCGGACATCGCAAATTGATCTGTAGCCATTGCCTCAGCAATCTTTTCCCTAATCGTTGAATCTGAACCCGTCGAAGAAATACTAGGAGTATCTCTATAGCGTAAATTCATCCTACCCGCACCAGCAAGGGCAAAGGCAATCGGACTCGTCTGAAGCATTCTGGTTGAACCAGGGCTACTTGGAATCTTCGAGAAGGAAGTTTTCCTGCTCATGCCTTTGTCTTTGCTATTACACCTACTAATCTTCCGAGCCCGTGTTGGAGTCTCAGGAGTTCTACGAGCAGCACAATTGCTCTCGGATTTCATGGGCGAGGTAAATGTAGGCGTACTGGGATTCATCTTGATATGTGGATGTGCACTAGTCGCGACACTTCTTGGTATTTTGGTGGGTTTTCTGGAGTTTTGGAAACCTTTGGAGTCTTCTATGATCGTTGGTCAGTTGTTTATCAAGCTTTTGAGGAAGTAATAGGCAGAGTAATAGTATGAGAAAAACAGGATGGAAAATGGAATTGGATATCGCAGAACAAAAAATTGACTATACCTTTACTGAAGACCATTTTAATTGTTATGCTTGTATAATTCTTGATTCTCTGTGGATTTCCCGAACTGAATGTATGAATTTTAATGTGCTATGGAGTTAGAAGTAAAAAACAATGTTTAGAAGAATCTATTGAAATGATTCTAGATCAATTGAGTGGATCGGGAAAAGAAATCCTTGTGGATCTAACGCCAAAATTTCAATACAGTTCATTGTTATTGATGAAACGGTTGTTATTATTGATGCACGTACCTAGTAACTTCTAGAGGATGGAAGTATCCGACTACGTGATGATGTCATAAGAGTGAATATCTATCTACCGTAGCAAGCGAGTTTGGTGAAGGTGCTATGTGAAATTGTCAGAGTTGACTTGCGCAAGTGAATTGAATCCAGGTACTTCATTTTCTTGAATCAAGTTGTAATAGTAGATGAACTAATAATGAAGGATATTATCTGATATACATTTCTATAAGATCTACCAGCTTTCAGACAATATCCCCTGTAATCTAGCCATTTCATCCTTCAGCGAAACTTACGGTTCGGTATGCACGAAAGATGCTGAAACCTTCCAGATCAAGATTTCAGATCCTCGGATAGTGAATCTTCTCCAAGCTACATGTTACATATCATCTCTCGCCTCAAAGTTATCTCTGTGACCGACTCGAATTCAAGCAAATCAACATCCCGTAACCACCACCCCAAAAACATACAGCAGAAATTTCCTCTCATTATCAATCCGGAGAATTCTCACATCATACTTGACTAGTATGATCCGAGTAATGAGAAGTTAAGAACTGTCATATGACTCACCACAATTCAGCATGAACCAATATAGCTAGTTGCGAACCGTAACATCTCCATCCTTAGAAGTACTGCCACTCGAATTCCCACTCAGAATCACTTAACGAACCGTATGCATTTCAAAATTTACATACATGATCCTCTTGAGCGAGACTTCTCAGAATGTATTATAATAAGAGAAAAATTCTTACGCAAATCCAGACACGAAACTCAAGAGCTTGTTCACCATCAACCTATCAACCTTCAAAATATCAGCATCCACTCGGCAGGGGACTGAAATCTAGATAGCGTCCAATACCGATTGGAACTCGGAAATCTCGTAGATTTTTCTCGGGAGAAATCGATCGTACGATAATACCTCCTGGAAAATCTGATTACAGTAAGTATCCATCCAACCTGATTAATCTACAACCCCCCCCCCTTCTAACCACAACTACACCTATCTTCAGCCACCTGATCTTATTTCCCATCTACCCTTCCCGATTAATCTAACGACAATATAGAAACCTACTCACTCAAGAAAAAAAAGATGGCTCCAAGACCAAGATCCATCTCCTCGCTCTACTCCCTCTCCGGCGCATCTTCGCTTACCAGCATAATCTCCACCCCACCCAACCCATCCTTATCCGGATCCACATCTCGCTCTCCCTCCCCGTTCTCCTTCACACCCATCCTCACACCCTCAGAATTCATCTTCCCCATCCCCTCCCGCGGCGGTCTCTCCGAAACTTCTCCTCTCCTCCCCCCTCCCCACCAATACCAATCCCATAAACCCTGCACCTGCAACCATCCCAATCCCAACCACACTACCCACGTCCTCAAAGCCACATCAACCACACAACCCTCTATCCAATTCCGCTACTGTTCCACCCGCCGCTCTTTACTGCTCAATATCCAGATTATCTCCTGTGTTCTATTTCTTGTCTCTCTCGCTATCATCGTACTATCCCCTTTTTCAAATCGCACTGAGAGTGGAACATCGACTTTAGAACGAGATCTCAAATCATCACATCAGCACGTTTCCCTCAGAGCTCTTCACAGCCCCAGTGATCCCAAAACCACAAATCCCTCCATCCAAGCCCAAACACGAACACGAATACACAAACTCGACAATCCGCAACTCAAAGGCATTGAATTCGCAATCGTCTGTTTCGCGATCTTTACCATGTGTTCTATCGCCCGAGCCACAAGTTATGTAATGAGTAGATGGGGATATATTTTGGAGGTGAGAGATCAGATAGTAATGGAGGTATTTTTGGAGATGAAGAAGAGATGATAGGGTATTGATACAGAAGAGGATCGATGGTTGATGATATAGTTTAGGGGAGGAATTATAAGAGAAGAAGACGAAGGGAAATAGAGGAGTGCGAACATAGGAGAGACTCAACCAATAATCAAATAGTTTGAGAGGGTACAGGATAATGCTAGAAGATAGATGACAGTGGGAAATCGTAAATCGTTCAAGACGTGAAATAAATGGTTGGGGATGGAGAGAGAGGAATTCGACGGTTGAGAATACGCTTAAAGAGTTGAGGATCACGCGAAAAGGATGGGAAGTAATTACAAGAGGAGAGGAAGGATAACAAATATAGATCAAGCGAGGAGATTATAGCAAATACATAATTCCTTCCAACTACACCAAAAACTGAGACACAAATAGAGACCGTCATCCACGAACAATCCGATCAAATCCTATCAAATCACATCATACAACTCAATAGGAAACAACCTCACTTAAACAAACAAAAAATACAAATCTCCCTTTTCAACATCTCGTTTCCCATATCTCAGAATCTATTATCTTATTTATTGGAAGATTGAATAATAGAAGTCTATTCGCTTGTGTCTAGATCCCATCCTATCCATCACTTCCCATCCATCACTTCCCATCCATCACTTCCCATCCATCACTTCCCATCCATCACTTCCCATCCATCACTTCCCATCCATCACTTCCCATCCATCACTTCCCATCCATCACATCCACATCCAAATCCACAACTAGATCTCAACTTTTCAAAACCTCCTTCTCCATACTAAATAACAAATCGATACATCCACTGACCTACTTCCTTCCTTCCTTCGTTCCTTCCTTGATTGTGACTATTCCTCGGAATCGTTGTCGAAATGCATAGGGTCATGAGCCGGACTACCTATTTGTCAAGAAGTAAAGTAAATCATGACCAACCCAGTTACGTAGTATGATCTCAATCATCGTCTTGTGTTGATAAGACTTCAGAGAAGGTAATAAGAGATAGATAGGACTTTAAGAATCAATTAACCTTCTTACCTCTCCCCTCAAAACAAACAATCAAGGATCAAAAAATTAGTCAACATTTATCATTTCCAATTAAATCTCCATAGTTAATTAATTAAATAACCATATAACTATAATTTCTTCACCTCTCACCTCTCTTCCCCACCCTCTCCCTCCTCCCCAAAAAATCCACTCAACCCCAACATATCCCCCGGCAAATACTCCAACCAAGGCATCATATCCTCCCCCAAACCCCTCATATCGATATCCTGACTTTCCATCATCATGTCGCCCATCCCGTTGTTTCCCATTCCCATGCCCATGTACCCGTGCGAATGCGAATTTGTATTTGTATGATTTCCCGCATGATATGTATTTCCCTGTCCATTACCCGATCCATTTGCGTGCCCGTTAACGGGATGTATATTATTACCGTGTAGATTACTTCCGTTATTATTATTGTGATTATGATTGTTGTGATTATAGAATCCTCCCGCTCTAGATGTCGATGGGGTATGCGAGAAATCATACCCACCTCCTCCCCCAGGTGTACTTGATCTTCCTGGCCTTGGACTCATCGTATTTCTTGGTCCTGGATCAAAAGCATGGTTTTCACTCCTCGGTGTCGGATATGGACTGCCACTTCCATTGCCTCCAGCACCCAACCCCAGTAACATTTCCGCATCCGCCGTTGCACTAGCATCAATATTTGAGTTCGTACCATGCATGAATTTTGGTCCCGGAGGAGGCATATGATTACTCCTCGAAGTCCCTATAAATCTATCAAACCTCCCACTAGTCGACGTACCACCCGCTGTATTTTCCGGTAAACTTTGTCTAATAGGATCATAAATCATATTTCCCTGTCCATATTCTTTCTGAGCTCTCATCTCTAAATGATCCGCTGCACTTTGATTTTGATACATGAATGTCAAATTTGAACTTGGAGAATTAGTAGTTCCAGTCAGAGACCAACCAATAGCTTGAGCCAAATCTATTGCCGGAGATCCAGGAAGTGCTTCCATCATTGGTGAACGTACAAATTCCGGAAATCTACCAGGAGAATTTGCAGAGAATTTTCGTCTCCAATTAGGTATAATTTCATGTCTTGGTTTAGTAGCTTCGGTATATTCTTCGGCCGTATATGTTTCCACTTCCTGTGGATCTATTCCACTTTGTTTCTGTTCCATAGCTACTCGAATATATCGTGTTCCAGCCCAATAAGATTCTATATGTTGTAAAGCTTTGTGACACCGTTGATAGTTTTGATTCGCTGCTGCTGCAAGCAATGAATGTTTCTGTTTTTGATTTCCTTGATTATTGTGATTCCCACCTGATTTCACAGTATCCGATGGAGGGCTTTGACGAGGACTGGGGTTTCTAGAAGATGGCTGAGAAGTGTGCAACGCAATCTCTTTAAGAAAAGCACATCCAGCGATATATATCGGTTGACACGTAAATGGGTTTCCAATAAATGATCTCGGATCAATAAGTTCAGCAAAAGCCAAGATGTCCGCAATAGTTTTAGCAGATGACATGCTGAGTTCCCGACTATGAGGAAGTAATTGTAGAACTTTTCCTTCGAGAGATTGCATCAAAGTAGGCTGGTGAAGTAACATGATTAAGGTGTGAAACCAAAAATGAACCTTGATATTGATTAGCAAAACTTATTCGCTTACTTCGAGGGGTAAAGCAAAACTTACAAGTATAAAATTGGTTCCCTCCCCACTCTTAACATAATGTTGAAAGTTGGTCGCTGAAAATTCCAATCTCCCATCCAAACTTTGATACAACACAGTTAAATCCTTTTCCATACCCTTTAGTTGTTTTATCAACCCAGGTGTAATATCGTCCGCACCTCTTATCCGATTCAACAAATCTGAAACTAGACCATACAAATGTATGATTCTGATAAGTGCAGGGAAAGGATCTGGCCATGCTTCTTCTGTATTGTTGGATACGGATGGAAGTGTCAATTCGAGATCTTCATCTTTAAGACTCACTGGTCTACCAGTGCCAGAAGAAATAACTCGATCAAGCATGAGGACTGCCCAGAGTGTATCTATTCTTTCTTCTTCAATTGCACTTTTCTCTTCCGCTGTAATAGTAGCATCAGGTTCATCTGATTCTCCTTCCTTCGTCGACCTATGGTATCCTGGATCCTTCTGCCCTTGATGTTTAACACCATCCAACTTTTGAAGCCCAAGATCCACCGCCATTCTTATAGCACATCCAAGATACATCCACAACGCACTATCTTGATTCGCACCAAATCCCTCATAAGCAAGTAATAAACAAGCTTGTACAGCTCCAACCGTGGGACAAGGAAATGTATCCACGACAGCCGCTTTAGCTCGCTGAGCAAAGACTTGTCCATATTCTGATTTCGGTTGTGGTGAATCATGTGAAGTAGTGAGAAGTGGATGATCTGAAAATCGAGCCGCTAATGCACAAACTGCATCTACAAGAATAGGTTCAACTTTCTTTTCTTCTACCAGACGTTTGAAATTTTCCTGTCGTTTCGATAGAAAAGGGTAATTACAACCCAAATGAGCAAAGAAGACTTCCACAAGATGGATTATAAGTCTATTGACCGGTAACGGATCATTAGGATCATAAAGTGGCATATCGATTGCAGACCTTGGCTCAGTACCCGCTTGAGATGGCGTTCCATTCACAGAACCCCCACTAGAATGTTTCGCGGATATGGGTGACATTGTGAGAGAAGAGGACGATGGAGCGCCCATACTTCTTTTGTGTTCCCGAACAGAAACCACCATTTGTTTGAATCCGGGTACAATGGCTGTTGGACCAAAATATCTGAAATATGGTACTCGATGGCTTTCACTGATGGTTGTTTCACTGAGAAGTGGTTGATCTCTTTCGAGAGGATTGGGACTCTCGTCTGGAAATAGAACTGCATCTCTATAGTCAACCCCCGGATTTCCAGGTCGATTGTTCCCCATATCCTCACTTCCCAGCCTTCGAGATGCATCATGCATATATGATTGATCAACCTCAACTCTCGTCCGTGCAGCAGTTGTATTCGCTCTTTGTTGAAATTGTTGCGGTACCGTATCTCTCGAGTTTTCTTTCAACGTTCCAGGCCTCCGGAGATGTGAATGTGCATAATCCCCCTCATCTCCTTCCCCACCATCTGGGGTTTTCACCTCCTTCCTTATCGAGTTCGTAGCTCCATCAGATCCCTCCGCATACCCCATACATTCATGACCATTATCCGTACATGTCGAACAAAGTGGTCGTTTCCCATCGCATCTTGTTTTGCGTTTCCTGCAGGTCCGACATCTACACGCCGCATTGAAGGTTAGCTTATACTCTCGGTAAATCACCCCTTCATTCTGCGATTGTTTAAAAAGTAATACATACGCAGCATTAACCCTCCGCCTCTTCGCAGGCGGTTGTCCCTCATTATTCACGAAGCGGATCTGTTTCTGCGGTACTCCTCCTGCTCCTGCTGCTACTCCACCTCCAGCGCTCATATCTCCTCGGCAGCTCTGAAATCCTCTATTCCGTAATTTCTCTCGCCAATCTTCCTCTATCCCTTTGGAAACTCTGCTTCACTTCGCGCAAACCTCAGACACAATCAAACAGGAATCCCCACTCACATCATACGTCGTTTCTTTCTCTCGTTTGTTGAGCTCGTTTGATTTGTCTCATCCAACCTGGTATCGTATTGTCTTTCCCGGGTTCCTTCTCTCGATTCGTACCTTTGCGTTTCGTCCCTCCTAATCGTCACTTTCGATCTAGTGTTTTGTACTCGGTGTCTCTGTTCCCTTTCCTTTTTTCTCTCCTGTCTTTGCCTCTTTGCCTTAAGCCCAATCTATCATGCACCGCACCCTCGCAGAAACAATCACCCCACTATAAAATGAATCGTGAGATTGGGTATCAAATAAGAAATAAATTTCATAAAACCCAATGAGCGCCAACCGTTGAACACCAGATGCAAGATGAAGCAAAATTCCGTTTCTAGAACGATAATTTCCGTCTTACAGTAATAGATACCTGGTACAGAAAAATACAGGGTGTCCAAGTGCCGATCCCGGGGAAAAGCTAGGGTCAAATACGCGCTTACGGATAGAGGCGGATCAGCGTTGATAGCCTATATTGGCAGATGTTTTTTGTATGGTAGGACAAGTAGGATATGCATATATACTGGTGATGTAGAGTTTGCAGATAAATTTGTATATAGTGGAGTATATTTAGATACTTCCTGTTAAAATCAACTGAAAATCCACGAATATTTTGTTTCTCGTTAAGCGATCATCATTCATAAACCCATCCATGAATCCATCCATCCATCCTTTCGTTTTTACCTTTCCCAGCACCATTCCACCATTCTATTCATATTTCCATCGTCCGTCGTCCATCCCTCAAATATCACCATCGAAGACCCAATCCAAACGAGACGATGAATACAAAATCCAAAGATGCGCCATACTAACAAATAGCATGAGTCTTTCCAGTCTTTCCTTGCAAACTATGCTTCTCATTCTTATAATGAGCATGGTTATGCTTGCTCTTTCCAGAGTGAGTAGCATGCGACTTAATGTATTCTTGATTCTTCTTGACAGTATCTTTATCCATCTCATCCAAGACACTGCAGCACAACTTGATATCATTCAATAATGAATCACATCTTGATTTACTGAAATCCTCACGGACGACGACACGTAACATCTTCAGGTTATCAGTTTTTGGTGCCATAGTATATGCTGGAACAACCCATCCACGTTGACGGAGTTGATGAGCAATTGCGAATTCATCATAATGTTTGTCGGAGTTTGGGTCAATACGGAAAGCGACGAGTGGGAGGCCTTTTCCATTCTTTTGAGACATGATAAGGAATCCGAGTTGTTCAAGAGAATCGGAGAGATAATCGGCGGTTCTTGTCAAGTTGCTCATGATAGCTTTGTAACCCTTCTTACCAAGACGAATGAGTTGGTAATATTGAGCGATAACTTGGGAAGCACCCTTGGAGAAGTTCAGAGTGAAAGAAGCTTGATCGGCACCAAGATAATTGATGTTGAAAACAAGCTCCTTAGGAAGGTATTCTGGTGCTCTCCAAACAATCCAACCAACGCCTGGATAGACGAGTCCATATCTAGAATCTTATTAGTCGTCGACTAGGTAAGAAAGGGTGAAGAACATACTTATGACCACTGGTGTTAATAGAAACAACCTTTTCTAATCTGAAATCCCACTCCAATTCTGGTACGGTGAATGGAGCTACAAATCCACCTGAAGCTGCGTCGATATGAATAACGGTATCGATGTTCTTCTCGATCAAAAGATCGTTCACAGCCTTGGCATCTTCATACTCTCCGGTATAAGTAGTTCCGAGAATGATGCAAATACCAATGGTATTCTCATCCACCAAATTGACTGTCTCCTCAGGATCAATTACATATCGATCTGGAGTACAGTAAACGTATTTTTCCTCCACCTCGAAATATCTAGCTGCTTTTTCCCAGCAGACTTGAACAGCAGAAGACATAACGATATTTGGGTTATCGGTCGATTTTCCAGCAGCGATACGAGCATTCTTCCAGCGTTTCTTCATGGCCAAAACTGCCAACATAATGGCTTCGGAAGAACCGACGGTCGAGGTACCAACAGCAGCATCGCCTTCTTCATTTGTAGGAGCGTTGAACAAACGACCGATCATGGAAACACATCGGTTTTGAATGTCTGCGGATTGAGGATATTCTTCGTAATCTACCCGAGGAGTTAGCGTGAGTTGGGGGGGAAAAAAGGGTATAGAAAGCGAAATATCAGGATGAGAAGACAGTGGACTTACCAATGAAATTCTTGCTGAAACTCTCAGTCATGAGATCTTCAACTTCTTTTTCCTACATCCTATTAGCATTGAACAAGATGATTCGTAGATCCCCTTGATTCAATTGCACTCAGCGTGAGTGTTTGATGCGCATTATCAACAACCTCAATATCTTCCAAGACTCCAACGACCGAGGACGCCCACAACAATCAAGGAAACCAGTTCACTAAACTCACCATGAATGTAGTAACAAAAGATGCCAAATTCAGCATAGGGTTTCCATCGAGTGAAAGATGATCTTTAATCATACGATACGCAACCTATTCATCCACCACATAAGATTAGTCTTTTTGCCCCAATTCCAGATTTGCATTCAAGCGCCAATTCTATATCACATCACATACCTCCTTGGGCATCTCTCCATCCGGCATCTCATGCTCTGGCAGATCCTCCGCAGCAAATCTAGAACCATAAACACTAGTTGTGAATCGATCCTCCTCGCTCGAAGCAGCCATTGTAAGTTTCTTCAACCCTTCGACGAGGGGAGCAGCAACCTTGTCATTGTTAGGGATTTGGGAAAGGTGAACCATTATTGCGGTTGTTGTTTATGTGGTGAGTGGGATTGGGTTTGAATTGAGATTGTGAAGTTCTCGATGGTTGAGATTATTTGTTGTTGACTTGAGTTAGAAGACGAAGATGTTGATGGTGTGAGGTGGAATTTGAGGAGAGGGATGGAAAGGAAGTGGTTGTATGAGTGGAAAGAGGAGAAGATGATGGTTCAGAACAGACGAGAACAGAAAACAAAGTCCACAAGAGTAATAAGTCAATAAATCGTGTATTCCAATATCTATCTGCCCACCTATCCTTGCACCAACAGTGAATACTGGTATTCGTATCACTTCGAGACTCTAGTGGGAAAATTCCGAATTCCTTCTTGATTTCCATTCATCATTCCCATAAACTTACGAGGACTCTGCCCCTCTTTTCAAGGATGTGAGCTCCAGCCGTTTTGGGAGCTTTTGGTAAACCTTGGCAGAAAAGCTTAGTTTATTTATCATATATGGAAATTGGATGGAATGATTGGTTGCAAGGGATTTAAATGTTAATTATCCGATCAAGCCATTGTTTTGAGATTGTGGACTGAATTTTATATCTGCGTCATCTTTTTCTCTTTTTATCCTCCCGTCTGTCCTTCCCGCACATATATTTCTATTCTACGTACGCAGTATCTTCGTTAACTCACGCATCTATCCCCTGCCAAGAATACCTAGGAGATATCTATCAATCATCTGCATTTTGCGAAGCTGACCAGAGATGGTACAACACATGGCACTTTTCCCACTCACATACCTGGTACTTGGATGCAAACCTCTCTACTGGTATGGAACGACTCAGAGGCAAAGGCGGGAAAGGAGGGGTTTCAGGACCTAAAGACAATTGGGTGCATAACGATGTATACCGGTATGTACCCCCGCAATAACCACACGTTCGTTCATGACAGCCACCACATGAAATCTGATTCGATGAAGATGCGGTGAGAGATCGATGCTGGACTGACATAGTGCAATACGTCCATCATGCATATGCAGCATCATCGTTGAGCTAGAGATCAAGTATAAATGCAATTCGGTAGTACTGCGGCTTGTTCATGAGAGCTCCCTCATATGTCTGGTGTCTAATACACAACAATTCTTATTTGGCCTCACCACAACGAGTTTGCGTATAGGAATTGATGATACTAATTGGGTTTACACTGAATCTGGAAAATAGAAATGTTTTGCTATTCAAATCCTCGCAGTTAGAGGCCACTTTATGGCGTATCGAGAATGAGGTACAGTGGCCATTCGCTTGTCAATCACAAATGAAGGGTGAAACTCCCTCAAATCCTTCGTTTGTAAATTCAATCATCTATTCCTCTTCTTCCCTCCCAAAAAGCTGTGTATCGTAGAAGGTAAAGATTAAAAGTCATAGCATTGCCAAGTTTTCATAGCATTTTCTTAACGAGTTAGTAAACATCGACACCGAAATTTGACATTCCGTCACAATCTTTCATCTTACTGCAAAATCCAAAATCTCCCAATAGTTTGATGGAAAATAGTTACACAATTTATATCTAAAATTATCACACCCTATCAATCGAACCCTAAAGTCATTCATGAGCTTGAGATCGGATTCGAATTTGAACAATGCTCAAATAAAACCAGCGAACAATTGCTTGTAAGGTTAACGCTGCTAGATACACTGTAGTTGCGTGAAAGAGCGGACTCGCATCTACATAGAAGAGATGAAAATCTTTTGATCTGATATAGAGAAGTCATCAAGAAAATCGAGACCTCCAAGCTCCCTATTTCAGATCAGACTAACCCTCTCTCCAAAACACCCAGACGCAATAAAAGCCAACGATATATGAGAGTACTGCAACATACACCCTGCCGCACAACTCTCCTCATCTACTACCCTAATCCTAAGATCTCTCCTATAATCTTAAACCCCAAACCCCAGCACTCTCCCTCTCCGCCTCCACCATATCCATCTACCTACTACTCTATCCTCTTTCCCTCATGATTCACAATCATCACAACCCATTAATCCACACTTCAAATCTCCAGAGCACACGAGCAGACCCATCATCTACAGAGCAAATGGAATAAATGGAGCAACAAACTACACATTACACATTATACACTACGCCTGCAAACAGATTTCGAGTATGAACTATCGAGGAGAGAGGGAAAGAGGTGAAGAGGAAGGAAACTGGCGGCTGAAAGTAGGTGGTAGAAAAATGAATATGATCAGGAATCTTGAGAGGTAGATTGCAGGTGATAGAATGCAGGCTTGTGCTTGGATATACAACCAGCTAAATTATCAAACCCCCCTCCCTCCCCAAGACACCTCTTCTGGAACACCTCCTCTCCCTTCAACCCGGAGATGTCGCAGTACCTATAGATAGAACAAATCGGCAATACAGCATGTGAAGTCAAGAAGAGAGAAGAAAAGGGCGAGACAGAGGTAAATTTTAACCTCACAACCACGGACTCGGGTCCCAATTCTCTTTTCACATTGCACACCAAATCACACTCGAAATCAAAATCAAAAACCCAATCAACATAAACCACATCCAATTGTTATCTATTCTATTGGAGAGAAGTCTCTATTATACAGACAGACGCCATGAAAAGCCCTTCCTTTCCTCCCCATCCTCTTCTAGAAGTTCCAGTCCATCATCTAGTCTATTCCTTCTCTATTTCAAGATAGACCGGAGTATTTTTCGATAAAGGCGAGGAAGAAAAGGCTTGCTGGAACAAACAAATGCATGCGGGTTCGCTAAAAGATATCCGACGATCCCGTAAACCCTTTTTAAACAACTGCTTTTATACAATCATTTATTTAACAGCCAAATCAACACCACCAGTGGCACCGAGAGCCTTCTTGATATCACCGTAGATAGCGAATTGACCTGCAGAAATTGATTAGTAACTAAATATGAAAATGTGGAAACGAATTTACTTACCAGCAGTAATAGCACCGACCATAGCAAGACGAGCACCGATACCAGTGTATGAACCTCTGAAACCCAACTCTTTACCGATCTTGATCAATCGGGAGGTAGTTCCCTCTCCTGGAAGACCCTTGGTCTTGTTAATCTTTGACAACATGGTATCAGCTGGTTGTGAGACAACGGCGGCAGCCATTCCAGCAATAAGACCGGATCCCAAGTTAATGGTGGTTTGCATTCCGTCGGAGGTCTTGGATTTGTCGACCTTGGTGTAGATAGCCTCAGCGACCTTTTCGAAAACGACGAACTTGGCCATGGTATATGGAACTCTGTTTGATATTATTAGTATCATAATGATATGATCACAAGAAAATCTTAAGACTTACTGCTTGAACAAGATTGGTCCGAAACCAGCATAGAAAGCACCAACACCCTCGTTCTTCAACATCTTGGAGAAACCACCAATGAGACCATTGGCATATGTTGGGTCAGAGACCAAACGAATACGGGTAGCCTCAAGAGGGCACAGAGCGATATCAGCGAAGAACTCGGCGGTAGCGGAAGAAGCCAAGTAGACAGCGGTCTTGTTGTTGACGGCGTTTTCGTAACCGATCATGTTGATGGCTTGTTGCTTGAAGAGTTCATAACCTCCGAATTTGAATGCGCCTTGAAGGAAGTAACCAGCGAAGGTTGGTCCAGCACCGGTCAAAAGAGCAGATGCTCCCTCCTTTGCAATAACTTGTCTGAAACCTCCGATCAATCCTCTGTTGTATGTGACGGGGTCGAGTTGGATTCTAGTCTTGACGCTGTAAAAAAATTTATGTTAGTATCTTGATATTTTGGTTATCTCCCACTCTCATTCCCACTTCCACTCCCATTTCCGTCTATCCATCGATTCGAATCTTCAAATTGCGCAAAACCGAACGAGAAATCTAATACATACACATCGACGGGAGTAAGACCACCGTGGGTGACTGAACAACAGACAGCTCCTGCCAAAGCAAATCTGGAGTAAAGTGCGAAACCACTGAGCTTCTCTGGGGTGTTAGCAGCGACCTGTTGGACGACTGCATCCACCTTTGTTGAACCAGTAGAGCCAACCATGATGAATATCTAGAAAAAAAGAGTTGAGAGGAGAGGTGAGGTTATTATTAGATACTTCTTCTACTGAGAGAAGGAAAAGACAGAACAAGATATATCTCGTTGGTGGAGAGAAGATAAGGTGGTCAATTGAATAAAATGCAATATTATTGATTAGAAAGAAAAACGACCATTAAAACTTTTGACGCTAGAGGATCGGAACCTTTCGGACCAATAATTTATTTTGGGTCGCCTTAAAGATTAACCGTGTGGATGCCTTATTTTTGGGTTCGGAAAACCGGTTTCTTTAAACCGAATCCCAATCCTTCCTACACGTGTGTTCTACAAGGAATGATATGTATAAGGCAATCGCATTCTTCGGCCATTGTGAGGAGGGCGATGTTCTGAGGATAAGTATATCTTCATATTTGCCTATTTTGGAAGGAAATTCTATTTCTCCATATGCTTTGAGGGCTATCCCAATGACGTAGCGACATCAATCATAATAATGCCAGTGCGTTAAATATTATCGTCGGATAAAACGGGAATTCAATGCGTTGTGTCTGAGTCGCGCAATATGCCGTCAGATGTCTTATAGTTGAGGCTCTATATGTTAATGAATTCTTCCATGAGTACGAGAACACAGACTTAGAGAGTGTGAAGCCTTTGATCATCGAGTTTTGCTTCAATACCTAACGACTGCAGAAGTTGATGCAAGGGACGCCAAGAATTATACGGCACAACTCATCTGGTGTCTCGTTGTATTGTTATATTTTACGAGCCTGAGTTTTACCTCTGAACAAGTGGTTTTGGCCTCTTCCATGTAGTTCAATGGCGATCATGTAATAAGACTTTATCATCCCTCCCATGATGTCTAGTAATTTACCCCAAAACGAGATTTACTACGAGTTCCCCGTCGAACGGGAGCTAAGAGTGCAAATTGACCAATATCAAACCCATCTGTACTAGACCGAGTTCATATATAATTGTCCATGGCCCTACATAACTGCTTAATATGTTCAAGATGGAACGGAGTGTACAATACTTGGTATTGAACTTCACTAAAATTCTCAGCACTTAAAATGTCTTTACTTTGCACAGAACTAGCTTTGTAAAAACCTATTGCACCCATCTGCTATCCCTATATAATTCCCTACTGGTTAAATCTATGACCGTCAAAAGTAAATCAAACCCATTGTGGATGGAGGTCAAGGGAGAATTTTGAATACGCCTCCGCTGTCCAAGTGACTATGCCAAGCTGCGGGAAAAATCATAAATGAGCCACAAACAAGAAGGCTAATATTCCGGAAACTGAAGATTACTTTACTGTCAAGATTCGTTCTTTCGCCATCGCTGTATAGTCTCCATCACCGTTTTCGCATGTGTCAAACCCCCTATAAGTATTGCGTAGCTATCCTAATCTATATTAAAGATCTGCAAATCACAAACACAGAGAACCCCAACGACTGTTACCACAGCACTACAGAGTACGGCGCCTGCTTATCAATGGGTCACATCATGAACCCCTTGAAGCTACGACATCTTAAATTTCAACGAGATTTTACATGAGAAAATCAAAGACTCTGTCATATGACCGTGGCATATTCACTTCCAGCATCTCTACATTGCCGATTTTGCTTCATGCTGCTGGACGGGAGGGTCAAAAAAAGTCTTCAACACGATCTATAAGAGTCAACTCTCCAGAAACTCTGTAAGACCAAGCTGTATCGTCAGCCATTCGAATCCCTTTTAATGTGTAGAGGAGCTGTTGCAGGGACAAATTCGACACGTACAATGCGACTTGAGTGTCTTGGCTAGATACAAGTATCAGCAAAATGCATACATTCAGGATTCAGATTCAAGGTTACATGTTGCGTAGTACTATAGTGTCGTTCCTTTATCATTATTCTCATTCAAACAATATTATTGTCAAAATCAGTCATGTGACTATTGAATGATCGATGTATACTTCGGACATGTGTTGGGAGAATAGCTAAGAAATCGTCACAGGTATTCCTTCTTCCGCCAAGGTGGACTTTCATCTCGCGTGCTCACAAAAGAAATCGTTTGTTCCTGTAGAAGCAGATAGATACTATCTGCCTTTTGTTTAGGAACCCTTTACCTAAAGATCGAGTCTATCTATAATCGCAAGAACTTTTAGGAGTAGAGCCATGCGTCTCAAACTATCCTGGCAAAAGAGTAGTAGCAAAGCTTCACTCGAAAGTTGGACTCCTTGCGAGCTTCTCAATATTTTTGGGTGAGGCTATAAAGGTAACCCTTTCAAGCCATTTCGTTGGCAAGTCGGTTGGAAAGCACTTGCGTGAAAAGATGATAGGCGGATGCGCGATGGACTCTACTAACACGGCCTCGAGACCAGGAGGTTTGGATACCATACCGGAGTAAATTTTCAGCACTACTTCTGTTTCATTTCTTCAATTTCACTGCTAGGAACTCTGATCTTGCTGTCACTAACTTTATTGTCAAGTCTTAACAACGTCGCCGAAGTGTTAGTGAGCATATCATCTCGAGATAAAAACTTAAACTTCAACAGTGGCATATTTCAACATGTCTATCATTCATGCTCTAGAATCCGAAAAGGGTTTCATCATTTGTTTCACATCATAGGACTGGCATCCTGCCATGATTGAGCTTTCCCAATTCGTAATTATCGATATCATTCAAATTTCTTCACTCTTCAGTATTTCCATACCCTCCCGTCTTGACTGGCTCGAAATGCCGAGACTATGAACCCAGGTCAAATGAGGGACGTTCGATATTATCTAGTCCCCGGGTTGTTTTATCCAGAAGATACCCTGCAATGAAGTGAGATAGTGAAGTATATTCCTAGTATAAAATCTACCATGGGAAACCTTTACAAGCGCAAGCTCAACACAGCATAAAGAAAAGACTCAAGGGAATATCTCATTCATCCCCCTTTGAACAAACTCACAGACTTTACAAGTCGCCAATCTAGTGAAATGAGAAACGCCTTGAAACTCTCAAGGGCATTTGCGTTCATTCTTATTGTCATGGATTAGTTCTCGCTCTCATCTTCATCTTCCAGTATCATCTCATAACACTGTTCTTCTTCTTTTCGTCATCTATGCGCCCGGAATCTAGTTGAGAGGACGCATCGCGGTATTATTTCTACTCCCCATCACTCCAAAACTCTAATAGAATTGTTACGGCACTAAACGCAGATAACCTCGTTGAGCTGATCTTTTTGTGATTTGGATTTGTTCATAACTAAAGGAAGAACTGATTAGATGACTTTGTATCTTTATGTTGGTACCTAATTCAATCTTAGGGCGCACCGAAAATGATAGTAGGACTCGTGGTCTACCAAATTTTCAAAGCAAGCAAGAGTGACGTGATCATTTGATAATCTCAAATTCTCAAGCCTACTATGCTACTAATGGCATCAGCGCAATATTTCTTACATCTTTAGTCAGTTTGAGATTGAGAACTATAAGAGAACCACGCTCAATCAAGATATTGAACGCCAGAAAAAGGAGTCCACAGCGAAAACATTTGGTCAAGGTGTAACTTCATCAGGGATCTCAGTATACTAACCTTGATGATTTCCACATGGACTTTTATGTCTTTAGTGCGATGAACACCCACTTTTTGGTGTCTAGTCATATTACCAATGTTCGCACTGTGTTCAGTTCTCTTCGTTCTTTATCAACAGGGCATACTCATCTATCTGCCGTCCCATATGCCTATTTTATCTTTTCAGATTACATGCATCCATTTACGAGACACAAGAACTGTCTATGAATCCTTTACTCAGTGTATCAAGTGTCAGGCTCCTAAAACACTTTTCTTCTGGGTTGAATGATTCATAGTCACTTAGAGATTTACTGAACAGGGTTTATGTATTACTTCCCCGAATTTTCTTCTGATCTATGCTTCCAGATAATACATGGGATGTAGGTCCTTAACTCTTAACTGGTGTGGCTGTTGATAGCGAATACTTCAACTAGTAATCTCAATTATAAAAAGGGCATCTGTGTGAACAAAGTGAATGACTTCAATTCAATTACTATTGTAGTAAGGCTACTGTAACAAAGCCTTAAGCGAATAAAGAAGAGACTAGCTCTTTCAGTAGGTCTATATAAGGCCTACTACCTCCTGTACATAGCTAGCTCTTCAGACAGAATACAATTAGACAATTAGGACCTACATATCGTAGGTGCTACGTCTTCCGTATCATTCTTGTACAAATAGCATCTGTTCCATCCTTTCTCAATGCTAATTCATTTACGAAAAATAAATTCTTGAGTCTGAGAACCTTCCTATGCTCACCGATTCCTGCTGGTTCATACGTAGGTTTACTTGAAACTTGGATTATGGTGTTCAGGAACTCGATTGATTCTATCTGCATGGGAGTGGTTGTCAATTATCCTTATTACTATTACTATCAACTCATTTTTAATATTACTTATCATGTTTTTGTCACGTCATGATTTCATTACTGTCTTGTTAACTTCACGTTTATCATCAGCAATAGTTACTGTCCTAACTAGTTGTATAATTTGTTCCTTGAGCTGAAAGAAAAGAACTCCATAATCTAATGAAACGTTAAGCACACTTTGTTCAAAGTACACATCTCCCTTTCCTTAGCTCCCTGGACGTGAGGGTAGGGCTACCATTGACTATTGTTTCGTGGAGAGTAGAAATTTACCCTCTTTATATACCATTCGATCCAGTTTAGTCAGGCCCAACTCCACAATTTCCTCATCTATTCAAAACCATTCGCTCCAGAGACTAGTCATAGTTGCTTCGATGTATGGATCATGCCAAAAATGAACTTTTTCCTATCGGTAATTACCATCAAAATCTCCGATCGAACAGGGAGAAATATTTCTCTGTCACTCTTATCACGAGTCATCCCAACATGGTCGCGCAGGAGATATCGCGGCATGAAGCCCGCCATGGCATATCTTCAATATTACATCATTCGAGTTGCTAGCTGCCTGAAAAAACCGTGACTTTGAAGGCTGGGGACTGATTGCGTTGTCGACATCTGTCATAATTTCTTACTGTCATTCTCTTTTAACATTTTTCACCCTTACTGTTCTAACACTGCTGGCAA